TTATTGATAGGATTAGTGGTTGGTGGTGCAATAACCATCTTGAAAAATGATGGAGTTCGTCAATGGGAAGGATGACATCCCTTTTTTATGAAATGGAAGTCATAAATGTTTGAACCCACCAGCCAACTATAGTTATAGGTATCATAAACCATAGTTATGTTTGAAACCACCAACCAGATTAGTGGCTGGTGAGTCAACTGGGTTCCGGTTCATGATCTGCTCCCGCGTGGCTCTGAGCATCCGCACGTGAAGGGGGATGGACACATCTCCTGACGTGGGATTGGTGGCGCTTTGTGCGTGGCGCAAGGGGATTGGCGCTTGGCTACCCTCTGGTTATGTCAAAATAGCTATTGAAAATGTCTATTTATAGTGGATTTTCCCATTAAAAAGGGTGATTTTCCATAGTTATGCTATATAGTTTACCAGAGGGTAACATCTACCCACAAAAAAAATGTGCCTCCATTCCGAAGTTGGTTTACTTCAGCAGGTTTGGGTTTGTGGAAGACGCATCCAGGAGTTCGATGGTTTTATAAACCAATTTAAAGGCAGGTTGGCCCCTCTTTTAGAGCAGGGCTCTAAGCAAGACTGACCCTGGCCACTGACCAACGGTTGATCCAGGTGCTGATCATCAGGCTTATTAAAGTGTTTACCCTCCGGTGTAATGATACGTGGCACTTTAAAATCCGTCATATTGACAAATAAGTTTCTAACTGTCCCATTGAAACTTCCATTTATAGGGGATTTTCCATTGCCACGTTTGACTACTGACATGTACCATCATTTACCCTTCAAGTGATTCAATCCAAATACAGCCGTAGCAACTGGTAGGAATTGGGTCCACGGCTCTCTCATCCCTTTGTATTGGTTGATAGGGAACCCTATACTGGTTCGTAATGATCTGCAAAGAAATCAGGCAGGTGAAAAGATCCAATATCATGATTCATCAACAATCATTTTGATGGTCAATCCTCAAATAATTACGAATTCTGTCGGAGAGCTACAAAAGTCAGGAATTCTGTCGCGTCCTGAACCCTGAGATCTCCCTGACTGTCCAAACCAACGAACTGGCGACTGGGCGCTACGCGCTAGTGGATAAAAATCTCAGAAGAAGGTACCCAAAAACCCTAAATCCATTGGTTAATCATCATTTTCAGACATTTATGTCTCACAGCTACAAGGGGATGAAGAACACGAATTCTGGAGTGAGCAAATAGGAAACGATATCACAAAACAGGCCGTTCCTCCGTTCAGATCAAATATCAAAATACCCAGGAAACATTGCTTCCTAATTTAGCTGGTTGGTGGTGCAATGTGCCCATCTTGAAAAATGATGGAGTTCGTCAATGGGAAGGATTACCATCTGGTTATTTAACATAGCCATGGAAAGATCCACCATTTTTAATAGGTAAACCATCTATAAATGGGCCATTTTCCATGGCTATGTTAAATAACCAGAGGGTATCCCATATAAAATGTTTGAAACCACCGACCAGTTAGTTAGGGTTGGATCTACAATTATTCATCTTGGGGCCTCATTTTTTTCAGAATGTCTCTGGGCTGTTGACCACGAAAAACCACCACGACTCAACAAATCACTGACTCAGCAACAGCAACGTGTACATTCTTAAAACATGGATTTGTTGGAAAATCAGGGAACCCCTCTTGCCATGGATTTGCCCATATTTATGTATATTTTTCCAATGAAAATGGGCACCATATTTGGCTCCATATGTGGACAGTTCCTCGCAGCATCAGACCCCTTCCCCCAACGACCTTGGTAGCCTCTGGACGGAAACATTGCTTGGAACACTCCTGCACGGCGAAAGTGACACCATTTTTCTGGCCCGAAAAAGCCAATGGGATAAGGGTAGAGGAAACAATCTTTGGGATATTGGGAAGTACTATAGGGCGTATATATTATGTATAATTATATAATATAATATAATTCTAGCAATTTCTTGCCCATATTCCAGGGCCGAACATATTCCATGCCAAAAAAGCTGGGAAATTTCAGGGAATTGCGAAGACCCCTTTCAGGTGAAATTTGTATTTCATACCGTTTGCCAAGTACTCCTTTTCTTCTGGCACGTACGTTGTCGACTGCACATGTTCTTCCCCAAAGAGGATCCTTACTTTCAACAATTTCTGGAAATGTCATAATTAATAATGTTGAGCTTTCCAAAAATGGATTAATAATGTTCTTGTGGGAATTTGTCATCTACACTTTTCAGGATCTCAAAACCCAATTCATAAGCTTTAAGCTTATGTTCTGGCACGCTTGGCTGGCCTTTCATCAGCAGTGCCATCCCCATCTTTCTTGACATCTTTGTGGCCCCGCAAAGAGCTCTGCACAACAGGATCTGGGAACACAAATCATCGACGATCCTGTTTTCTTCCGTGCAATTCCACCGATAGAGTACGATGCCACCCCTGGAGTGCGCTAATTTTCTGGAATGCGAAAATAAAACAGTATGCGTGGCCCCCTTCGACCTTCCCCATGGATCCAACACCAGTTTTTTCCATCATATACCAGAAAATTATATACCCTCAGGTACTAGCTAGGGACCTTGGGGGTTGCACTGTAGACCCTAAACGCTGGGTCTATATACAATTGCCTGCAGTCAGTACGTAAAGATATGTAGACCTTTGGCCTGGTACAGATTTCTAGGTCTATTGTGGTTTTCTCCAGAATCAACCATGACATCACAGCAGCTCCCACATCCCAGCATTTTCTGCACGCTGAATCTTGCACCATGATATGTTTTTTGAAGCAAGGTTTTTTCATACCGTCAACTACGAGCAGGGACCCTTGAGGGTGATTCTAGAACCCCTACAGGGGTTCTACAATCATTTTCCTAGGGGGGGGGGGCCCCCGGGGATCAACTTGATGATGTTAGAACCTTGGCAGTTTGTGTTGGGGGGGTTCTGGAATCATATCATGGGGAATCAGGAATATGATCCTAGAACCCCTTCATTTTGGAGCCTTTCTGTTGTCAAAAAACGGAGTCAACAATTGCACCTAAGCAAAACCCGCAATCTCACAAACTCAATTACCCGCCTGCTTCCTTTGCTCCCATGCTAATCCCCTTTTCCTATTTCAAACCCCCCTAATGAATAGAAATAGATCCCGGTTGTCATTTCCGGGAAATTTCAGGTTGGTCAATTTGATCTTTAATTAATCGCATTTAGAAAACATTTTTTGGGGTCAAGATCCCATTTGAGGGTTCATCTTATCATCTTAATACTAAAAACTGATTGGCTGGGACTGGTTATTACTCGCGTCCATGACATCATTTCATTTTTTGATTAGTACTTAAGGTTTCGATGTAGTGATCAGGGGAAAGTGTCGTAAGACAATGTTTGGCAATATGTCAAAAAAATGACATATAGTAGTTTTAAAGTATGTCTTAATCTGTTTTAAAACGAACTTTCTGGCACCTGAATCAATTTGTTATTTTCCAATTCTTGTTCAAGGATTTTGCAGGATTGGGAGGTCTAAAATCATATCTATGGGCCTTTGTGACGACAAATCCACAGAATGAGTTGGGAGATATCATTTCAGAACCTTGTGTAAATCTCAACCGTTTCCGAGTAATAATTAAATATAATTAAATCAAATTGGATTCCTCATTTTGGTTCAGAGGATTTTGCAGGATTGGGGGGTCTAAAATCATATCTTTGGGCCTTTGTGAAGACAAATCCACGGAATGAGCTGGGAGATATGATTTCGGAACCTTATGCAAAATTCAACCGTTTCGGAGTGATAAATCAAATTGGTTTCTTCATTTTTGTTCAGAAGGTTGTATAGGAATGGTGGGTCTAAGTTCATATCCAAGGCCCTAGTGAAGATAAATCCACAGAATGAGTTGGGAGATATCATTTCAGAACCGTGTGTAAATCTCAACTGTTTCAGAGTAGTAATTAATTTTAGTTAAATCAAATTGAGTTCTTCATTTTGGTTCAGAGGATTTTGCAGGATTGGGGGGTCTAAAATCATATCTTTGGGCCTTTGTGAAGACAAATCCACGGAATGAGCTGGGAGATATGATTTCAGAACCTTATGCAAAATTCAACCGTTTCAGAGTAATAAATCAAATTGGTTTCTTCATTTTTGTTCAGAAGGTTGTATAGGAATGGTGGGTCTAAGTTCATATCCAAGGCCCTAGTGAAGATAAATCCACAGAATGAGTTGGGAGATATCATTTCAGAACCGTGTGTAAATCTCAACCGTTTCCGAGTAATAATTAAATATAATTAAATCAAATTGGATTCCTCATTTTGGTCCAGAGGATTTTGCAGGATTGGGGGGTCTAAAATCATATCTTTGGGCCTTTGTGAAGACAAATCCACGGACTGAGCTGGGAGATATGATTTCAGAACCTTATGCAAAATTCAACCGTTTCGGAGTAATAAATCAAATTGGTTTCTTCATTTTTGTTCAGAAGGTTGTATAGGAATGGTGGGTCCAAGTTCATATCCAAGGCCCTAGTGAAGATAAATCCACAGAATGAGTTGGGAGATATCATTTCAGAACCGTGTGTAAATCTCAACTGTTTCAGAGTAGTAATTAATTTTAGTTAAATCAAATTGAGTTCTTCATTTTGGTTCAGAGGATTTTGCAGGATTGGGGGGTCTAAAATCATATATTTGGGCCTTTGTGAAGACAAATCCACGGAATGAGCTGGGAGATATGATTTCAGAACCTTATGCAAAATTCAACCGTTTCAGAGTAATAAATCAAATTGGTTTCTTCATTTTTGTTCAGAAGGTTGTATAGGAATGGTGGGTCTAAGTTCATATCCAAGGCCCTAGTGAAGATAAATCCACAGAATGAGTTGGGAGATATCATGTCAGAACCATGTGTAAAACTCAACGGTTTCCGAGTAATAAATCATATTGTTTGTACATTTTAGTTCAGAGGGTTGTACAGGAATGGCGGGTCTAAGTTCATATCTATTGGCCTGGTGAAGATAAATCCACAGAATGATTGGGAGATATCATTTCAGGACCTCTTGTTGCATTGGTGATTGGTACCTGGCATCCTGTTTTTTTATCTGCGTTTATGCACTTTGCATGTTTTGGTTCAGGAGGTTGCGCAGCCAAAGCGATAATTTCATATCCATGGTCCATGGCCCATGTGAACATAAACCTTCTTACACATAAAAACGGCACTTTATCTTTTGGCGAACCATGTTCGGAAAAAAATAAAAGTGCCACAAATACCCGTAGAGTGCTATAAACACACGTAGAAATCCTACTCCCAAAAAATGGCACATTTTCCACTGACAAGATTTCCGGGCACTTTGGACAGTGCCCAAAACGATGGGCCCCCGGGCTTTCCAGGTAACTACTTCCACATGATCCATAGATATCTGAAGTGGTCGGAAACAGCAAATTACAACATCAAAAAAAACAACTCTAGGAACCAAAACCTCCAGGGTTCTACAATGGGGGGAGGTCAGGGTTCTACAATCATATCGCGTACCCATTCTAGAACCCTAGAATTTACCCCCAGGGGGGTACCCATTCTAGACACTTCGTACTTGAGGGTATGTTTTTTCCCCATCATTTTTTTATCTTGCTCTCAACAAGGCTGCCACAGATGAATTTCAAAAAAACATGATTTCTGGAATCATGGTCCCAGAGAAGTGCTTGTTTTGCACCAAAGCTGCTCAAGACGAGACTCCAAAAGGTCTACAATGCTGGTAGGCCAAAAGGTCTACAATGGGGGGACTGATGTCTTTGGACCTTTGGAAAGTCACCCCTGTAGGGTCACCTATTCTAGACCCTAAGTAGTTGAGGGTATAAAATTATCACATTTCACCCTGCTGAGCTTTTTTTTCTTTTTTTTTTGGGGGTCATTTTTGGCCAACATGGCCTGGAATGCGATAGTATGTGAAACTACAGACGTCTCACGCGAAACCGCTACCTTGCCCATATTCCAGAAAACGTGATTCCAGGCGATTTTAGCCCCCAAAAAAATAAAAAAAAATAACGAAAAAACGAGAAAATCACCGAGTACGAAGATTTTATGGAGTGCGAAGATCTTGCAGAGTGCGTGGATTTTACAGTATGTGTACGTCCCTAGCTGTGGAGTGCGATGCCCTCGCTGGAGTGCGAAGAATTTGTGGAATGCGAAAAATTCCGAGTATGCGTGGCTAGTATAGAGACATCACATAGGGAAATTTCGGGGCCAGAACCAAAATTCCAATCCCAAAGCCAGCCCAAACTTCCAGGGGCACAGCGGTGGGTTCTATTTTTCCGAGTTCACCTTGGGTGAGGTCCCGGGGAAGAAACTTGCTAATTTTTACTCAGCCAACCTTTAAAAGCGTTACCTTTGACAACCCTGTCCTTCTTCGGTAGACAAATGAGGAAACTTCCTTATCAAAGCAGCCTTCAATTCATTCAACGTCCACAGCTGCTTTGGAACGACATAGGGGATAATAGAAAGCTGTGGAGGGGCATTCAGTGGATTCGCCGGGGGCCAACTGTTCCCTCCAGATTGAGCTGAAATGCCTATCAAAGTAACATACCAAAACCCAGGTCTGGAGTACGATGAAAACATGGTATGCGAAGATTTTCTGAATATGGGAATGTTGCCTCTAGAATAATATAATATAATAAATGAAAATATAATATAATATAATATAAAAATAATAAAATAAAATAAAATATAATATAATATAATATAATAATCCAATACTAAAAAATAATCTAATATAATATAATATAATAAAAAAATACTAAAATATAATATAATATAATATAATATAATATAATGTAATATAATGTAATATAATAAAATATAAATAATATTAATATATACTTTATATATGCACACAAAACACATGATCAAACCCAAGTCCCAGTAAATATTGACATTGCTGGTCTCAGCCGAATAGGAACATCATACTGGCTCATCCCAGAAATCGCCAAGTGAACTAAACAACAAAAAAACACTTTTGTTGGTAGGAGAAGTGAGGTTTATCAACTTATACTGGTTGGTGGTTGAGCCCAACCCCTCTAAAAAATGATGGAGTGAAAGTCAGTTGGGATGATTATTCCATTCCCAACTTTCTGGAAAGTCACAAAATTCCATGGTTCCAGCCACCACCAACCAGTATAACTAGGCTGAATCGGCCGAACGTAATAGCTACGTCAAGTTGGATATGTAGGATGAAGCACCAAAGCATTCCACCGGGACTTACACTGGCCATTCGAATCGGGGTTCTGGCCGGCCAATTGAAAAAAACAACTGCGATAATAAACGACCATGTTCATGGAGTTGGTGTTCATATACCCTGCAAAACATGATGTTTTTTTTCCATCAAAACATTGTGATGTTTTTGTAAACTAGCAATACGAAAACATGGCACTGGAATCAACATTTCCCACCAACATTATCGGGTTTTCGAGATCTCGGAAGTCAATGATTCACCAGTGAATCGAATGGGGTACCATATTTCAGACACAAAAATCTATGATCGAAATTGCAAACAACCATTCAATCTTGGTTTAAGGGAAATTTTACAGGAAACCATTGTTTTTACCATTAAATATGGGGTTTCCTGTAAATTTTCCGGTAAACCAATCCATTGAACCATGCCCTCTGGCTTTTCAGCTATGGACTAATTGCGTCAAAAAAGCCCATTTGCATCCATTTACTTCGATAATAAGCATGATGATTTATGCAATTTTTTTCGGTGAATTCTTCCCGAATCATCTCCGGTGGTTTGCTCCTTCCCAAAGGGGAGACCTCACACAACGTCAAATGCTATTCGAGTTCACCTGTTGCTTTCAATAACTATTTACCGTAGGGTAAGCATAGATGTGGAAAATCAGGATTTTCTGTAGGTAAATCATCTATAAAACTGAGACTTTCTCCACATGTATGCTAGTTTACCCCATTGTAACCGTCAACAATAATAGGGATTGCATGGGATTTCTACAACTAAATTCCCTAGAGTGGGGATATACGAGGGAGATATAGTTGGATATAACAAACAATATGACAATATGATTTGGGATTGTGAGGTAGGTTTGGGCAAAACCGCAAAATCAGAAAAGACTCAGATCACGTGGATTGAGCCACCATGTTACATGGAGTATCACCAGTCACGCTTGGGGTGTTGTTGACCCAAAAAAACCTTATGTATAATTATACATATATATAGAGAGAGAGAGAGAGCTCGTAGAAATAAGTTTGTCTTGACATAGTGTAGCCCAAAATTCAGTGATTCACAATCATTGTCCCATTCAAATTGCTATGGGAACTATTCCAGTAACATTCAAGATGTATCCATAGCCACTGTAACTGCTCATTATTAATCTATCTCTACTACTGTTGGTTATTATATAAATCCCATTGTAGAGATATATATATATACATAAATACAGAGTACAAATACATCTCTTGACCCTTCCCATCTCATTTTGATATTCCCTTATAGCCTCATCAATATTTCATGGATATGCCGAAAAATATCGAGCTAATTCCAGCTACATCCACATGATATCCTCAAGATCTCATCCACATTTTCTTGCACCTCACTTTGATAGCACTCTGGATCATGGCAAACTTCTGGAATCAACTGGGCCAGCGGGTTTTTGTTGGGGTGAAGACCATCAGAATGGGCCAGAATTCCCAAGAAACGGAGGGAATGTATATCAGGCCCCTGTTTACGAAATCGCGTTCTTTTGGTGCACTAATCACTCCAATTTCACTATGGTAAACATGGTACGCAAATAATGAACTAGTTATAACGAACTAGTTACTGGGGCGGATCTAAACCAACAAACATAACTGGGGGGACCACATTGTATATATGTATGGTTAAAAGTCATTATTATATATGTATCAAACATGGTGTATTGTTATATATGTATAGTGATTTAACGTGGCTATGGAAAGACACCATCTTTGATAGGTCTATAAGTCGGCTGTTTTTCATAGCTACGTTACATTCCCAGAGGGTATGTCATTATGGCCTACTCTGTGCTCTCCTCAATGAAGTAGATAAGAAACACGACCGCATGGTTACAAATTGTAAGGAAACACATAAGAATATCATAATATACAGAAACTGGATGGTGGTATACCTACCCCTCTGAAACATATTAGTCAGTTGGGATGATGACATTCCCAATGTATGGAAAGTCATAAAATTGCATGGTTCCAAACCACCAACCAGTATATATATATATACATATCCCATTAAATCCCATTAAATCACCATATTTGTTGGTTAAGTCACCACTTTCCATAGTTTTTTAAAGGGATTGATGGCTATGTTTATCCTCCCTGGAAATCAACAATGGCAATGGAGAAATTTCAAGACAAGGCTGCAGGGATTGGTTCCGTTCAAGGTGACCAAGGTATAGTAATCCCCAATATTTTTGAAGGGTAGGCGCATCACCCCCGAAATCATCAACCATTACCCTCTGGTAAACTAACATAGCTATGGAAAATGGCCCATTTATAGATGGTTTACCTATTAAAAATGGTGATTTTCAATAGCCATGTTAAATTACCAGAGGGTATTTCTCAATATCCTCAAGATGTTTGATTGTTCATCCGTATCTTCAAATGATTCAAACTCCTTTTCATGATGGTTAAACCATGTTAGACCCACATTCAGAATATTAGCGGTAATGAATCATCAACTGGGGATGTTGAACAGGGGAAGTAACCTATTTCATGACATAATTAGCTATGGAACTGGGGAACTAATATAGTAATCAGTTCATTTGCATTAAACTGAACATGTTCCAACTGGGGATAGTTTAGTTCAATGAAAAAAATGGGAACTATATGTTCTGATCATGTTCCCTATTATAGTCATCATAGCTAATCATCAACTGGGGAGGTCTCTCCAAAACAGGAAGCGATAGCTTTGGCAAGTCACCTGCCACACATCTACATGCATGGAACAGGCACCTGCCGGCAGCGTCATCGAAGGATGGTGGTTCACATGGCTTAACCAAGTATGGGATACATATATATATATCTATACATATATATATACATATGTATGTATATATATATATATACAGAAACATTTATATATGTAGCCAGCCTGGTATTATTATATCTATTGTACCCATATAAAATCATAAAGCCAAAATGGCACAATATGTATATATATATACATATACATATGTATACAAATATATATATATATTAAACATACTTACAATCATATACATACATTATATTGAAGTACAAACTAAATACCACCAACAACGGACAACAGTAATAGAGTCAAAGCTAATCAGGATCTCTGCGATAATATGTCATATGTCATATCAGCAAGATATTCACAATGGGAAATCTATACGATGAAGCAAATTAGGATATTTCACAATGGGAATCTGTATTCCAGCAACATTTAGGAGAGCTTCAGGTTTCAGCAACATTTTGGATGGCAGAAATCACAGAAAAGGCGACAAAGACCTTGCCACAAAAAGGTTCGTGTTGAGCGGGATATGTGTGTCTTGTGAAGCAACATGGCTGACAATGAACATATGTCAAATTGGTATGAACTGATTAACATCTGACTGGTTACCATTGAAAATATTCGATACCTTACAAGAAATCAATTTGTAAGCTGCTTAGTATCCCCATTTATAGCAGAGTCAGAATATTTTTCAAAATATGTTGGTACCTATCCAAGGTTTATCCAACAATCATTTTGTTGGGATTAGAGCCCTTGTAAATAATTGTAAAGTCCCCGTAAACGCTGATTTACCCCCTGGTAAACATACAAAGAACTATGGAAAATCACCATGTTTAATTGGTAAATCAACTATTTCTATGGCCATTTTCACTAGCTTTTTGTAAGTTTACCCGAGGGTAATCATCAGCCCGATTCTAGTTTATAAAAACTAATAGCCATATTGTTGGCCTATATCGCCACTAAATCACCATCAATAATTGGCTTCCCCAGCAAAAATGATGGTTAAATGACGCATTGAATGACTAATCGACAGTTTTGCTAGTTGAATCCTCCAAAAATAATGTTGTTGGTTCTATATCTCATTACATCCCCATAGTATCCCCGTAACATCGCATTAAACCCCATGAAATTCCCCCCCCAAAAAATATTGAATCCCATTAAATTACCAATTTTCATCATGATAAACACACCATGAGATCCCCCGAAAAATCCGTCACTCGATACTTCTGCCCACCTTCACCACCCAGCAACTTCTCATCATAGTGGATCCACGCATCCTTCCTTGACGTCAGCGGTGGGCTGAATTTAAAAGGTGGGCCCAAACGAAATCGCAAAAAAACACTTGATGAACTCGGGTTGACAATACAAGGTGGTGCCCCCCCCAGTTATAAATGGGTTATAATCCCATGAAAACTAGTTCGATATATGACCTGTAAACCATAGTCATGGACTTACAGACCAACTTAGCTATATGATGCGATATGGAGGTTTCCTAAGTCATGAGGGGTACCCCAAGCTCGCTGGATTGCGAAAAAATCATGGAAAATCCTGTTAAAATTATTTCATGGAAAATCCTGTTACTTTCAGGATGATGAACAGGGATACCCCCATCAAAATGGAAACCTCCATAGAGCCTACAGTTTTTTTGGGGTGCAACTAAACCAACTATTTTTCGGGGCCTCACATTGTAGGAACGGAAGAATTTAGCACCGGTGAACACTGGAACTGCACCACCAGGTCTGTTGATATCACCAGGTCTGTACAGCCTATTTTTAGATGAGAATCCTGGACGCTGTGGTAAATATCATCGAAATATGCGTCGATGCTACATCCTGGAAACACTGTTCAATGGAATATATCATCAATGGATCTAGAAACCAGTGTTTCTTAGATGATATTTAGATGCTACATCCTGGAAACACTGTTCAATGTATTTAAGTTTGGGTCCTCTATGGAATATAGCCAACTGGACAGCTTGAAGAACATGAGCTACAAGAAACGAAACAAGTGGCAAATCCATAACAAATACATGACCAATAGCAGGCGCTTACAGACAGACATAGGCTCAGAGATAGAACACATGGTTCAAGAACGAAGTGAAAATAATCCCAAGTTGACACTGGCCTTGACACTGGCGTTGACACTGGCGTTGACACTATCTAATCATTTTCGGTTAACTTTCGTAGTTCAGGGGCACGGAAAATTTAAGCCTGGTCTGTAAGGCTGGTCTGTCATTTTCTAATCCACCCCCCCCAAAAAAAACTATATCAATGCTGATGAAAGAAACGATCCAACACGGATTCAGCAGCTACGAGGGGGTGCCCAACGTTGCCTGTCTGGTGCTGTTAACCTCCCGTTACTCACACACACATATCTATCATACATATCCATAAATATCCGACTGCCCCCCAATTTATCATATCCCAGAAAACAAGACTATATATAAACCATCATAAACAGATGAATGTGGGTAAAACAATGCCATTATCCATCCCCAAAATCACCATCTTTATAGGTGGTATGCTTACTATTCCCAGTCATGGGTGGTTTATGGCATTGTTTTTTCCCACATTACATCAGATTACTAAACCATACCCTCTGGTAAATCAACATAGCTATGGAAAATCACCATGTTTGATAGGTAAATAACCACAAAAGAGCTAGAGTACCCTCTGGTAAACTATATAATATAACTATATGGAAAATCACCATTTTTTATAGGTAAATCAACTATAAAATGTGCCATGTTCCAATAGCAAACTGTTAAGTTACCAGAGGGCATATCCATCAATATCCCAGTATTATCCCATCATTATCCCATGATCATCCCGAAAAAAAAAGCATATGAAAAACCATAGTAAACCCATCAATCATAATCTATTAAACCTCCAATTACCAGAGGCTAACAGATATAAAAATCACGACATCCCAATTTGGTGAGATCCAGCCCTTGATTCACCAAGAGGCCCAGTTTTCCTGGCGCACCGGAACGCGGAGCATAGCGTGGACCATAGCCACATGGGGGTCATGGGGATATAACCATCATGTGGTTGGTGCCCCAGTGTTCGCTAAATCGCGATTGGTTGGTTGGTGCGTTTATGTTTCTCCAATTTCACGATGAGGTTTTTGGGACGGTGGTATATCGAAGTATACTTTTCATGGGATGATTTCACCCATTTATATATACCTGCAAAAGGGGCACCACCGACTGTATGTTGAATGGTGATTATGCTGGTTCTGTCGGTTTTATGACTAATTTTTTTTATTGTTGGACGGTGGATATATCGAGGTAATCATTTTTTTCTGCGTGCAACACATTATTCCATAGATCGATCAATGGAATTTCAGGAAATCCAATCCTGGAGGTACGTTAGTAACCATATGTCAGTCCATATTTTATGGGGATATTCCCTGAATTTAAGGCCTTATATAAGCCTTATAATATGGTAGGTTACCCCCCCCTCCAATTCAGGTTCCTGAAATGGACATTGATCATATATTCGAATGAATCCAATTCAAACAGGTGTACAACTTCCTATAGGGAAAAAACCAAGAATTGTGGGGGGGGCCACTGCTCTTTGTGGTATCGCCTTCAAAATTGGGTTGTGAGGTGGGTGGTGGTAGGCCTCGGATGTTTCATCATTTTCCGCCATGCCATGCCATGCCCATCAACTGGGGAATAGCCAAGTTTGAGACACACCCCCTGTCAGTTTGCTCATATACTTTTCTGGTTGGTGGCTTCAACCCTTTTGAAAAATATTAGTCAGTTGGGATGATGACATTCCCAATATATGGAAAGTCATAAAACATGTGCCAAACCACCAACCAGTCTACTTGTGGCTCAAGGATACATTCGTAACCCAAGAGCTAACTGTAACTCCCTTTGTGACACCATCCAAGGTAGCCCTGCAAGCTACTAAGAAGCCAAGCTTAAGAGGGAACGTGATGATCAACCAGAATGATCCGGAGTCGACTCCTTTTTGCGAATCATCTTTAAGACACCCAACTGCGAATCTGGAGCAATGTTTAACATTGTTTAACTAGAAACTTAGGATTTGCGATGGATTTGATATGATTTGTATACAAATCCAGAAGTCATCTTAAGTATACTATACCCTAAGGTTTGAAGATCTGACCATGGATCCAGGAATTGTTCTGAAGCTCCAACAGAGGCGAGTCTGGGATCACGCGACTCGATGACCGGGTCACGCAACTCGGTATAAAACATGGCTGGGAAATCCTCTAGGAATGAAGGATAGTGGAGGTTTAGTTCGCTGGGGAAATCCTCAGAACATATGATCTATTTCCATAAAATCCCATATATTTCCAGATACTTCCATTGCCATGATTGATTACCAGAGGGTATATATATATATATGCCATGGTCAAGTTACCATGGGTTTTTCGAGATGTCCAGTTACCATCGACTTACAGGATTCAAGTTACCATTTTTTGGGTCATCGCCTATACATCCTGTGATGATCATCCACGAAGTCCAAACAAAATATGTACCCTCTGGTTATGTCAACATAGCTATTGAACATGGCCATAGAAATAGTGGATTTACCCATCAAAAATGGTGGATCTTTCCAGTTCGCTATGTCAAATTACCAGAGGGTAGCCCATGTAGCCGGGCGCCTGAGATATTCGCCCAGCATTCTACACCTGCGATGGCTTTGATCGATGAGTTTGGAACGGGTTGTTTTTGCCCGCCAAACGAACAAGGCAACCTTTCCCAGCGATTCGGGGAAATGTGAAATTGGGATTTTTACTTCTCACAAAGGTAGGGGCTCAGCATCTGCGATGCTGAATGGGCGGTTTTGTTTTTTTCCCTTATTGTCTATAGAATATGATTAGGGGCTTTTGACTGGAAACCACATGGACGTTGCAGATGAAATATGGGATAGCTCAAACATGGGATACTGACAACTCAAACATGGGATACCACTTGACCCATCGATTTCCCTGTGCATTCTTGATTTTAAGAATATCTTAGGGAGGTATGGTCAACTATATATATATATACACACTGAAACGACGGAGGTCTCTGATTACGACCAGTTGGAGTTTCTGCATACGACGCCAGTTTCTGATTTCCGAGTGGAGCATCTGAATCCAATTCTTTTGCGAGTCAGTGTCTACTTGGTGGCGAACTACCCACGGCTCGTAAGTGGGTTAGTTCACCCCAGTTATAAATGGGATAAGTAGGGTTAATCCACTTATAACTGGGGTTATAAGCCACTGCTCATTGAATTCCAAGAAAGGGGTTTAATTCGAGCAGCTAGCACATATCTTAGGGGTTTGATGGGCCATTGCTGTGGGTAAAAATCCTTCTCCATGTCTTATTTGTGGAGGGGTGGCCTGATTGGGAGTTCAGTGTTCTAACAGAAAATTGGGGTTCAAAACTATGGACGCAACAACCTGCAATGCAGCGTTCGAAAGGTCTGATCATATCTTGATATATCTTGTAATCATGCTGAGTTAAGCCATACCCAAACAGGCAAACGTGTCAACATTTGAGCAGTGTTGAAAATCCCCAGCAATCATTCCATGAAATCCTGGTTGGTGGATTCCCCCCTTCTTGGATTATGAAGTAATCCCCAATGACTATTGACTACTTGGTAGCGAACTACCCACGGCTCGTAAGTGGGTTAGTTCACCCCAGTTATAAATGGGATTTTTGTCGGGTTAATCCACTTATAACTGGGGTCATAACCCACTGACGAGCAGTGGGATGAGCCATCAAGTACGATTGCTCATTGAATTCCAAGACAGGGGTTTAATTCGAGCAGCTAGCACATATCTTAGGGGTTTGATGGGCCATTGATGTGGGTAAAAATCCTTCTCCATGTCTTATTTGTGGAGGGGTGGCCTGATTGGGAGTTCAGTGTTCTAACAGAAAATTGGGGTTCAAAACTATGGACGCAACAACCTGCAATGCAGCGTTCGAAACGTCTGATCATATCTTGATATATCTTGTAATCATGCTGAGTTAAGCCATACCCAAACAGGCAAACGTGTCAACATTTGAGCAGTGTTGAAAATCCCCAGCAATCATTCCATGAAATCCTGGTTGGTGGATTCCCCCCTTCTTGGATTATGAAGTAATCCCCAATGACTATTGACTACTTGGTGGCGAACTACCCGCGGCTCGTAAGTGGGTTAGTTCACCCCAGTTATAAATGGGATTTTTGTCGGGTTAATCCACTCAAAATACTGGGGTTATAAGCCACTTACGAGCAGTGGGTAGTTCGCCACCAAGTAGTATAATCCCCCAACTCATCATCAACCAACAGGGGGTAGATTTCAGCCACGTGGCTGCACCTCTCATTTCAGTCTCACGGGACCGCCACCAGAAAAAGTAATGGAAAAGACATTTTCTGCTATCGACCATCCATGTTTGGATGTACCCAACGTTATATGTCCAGCAAAAAAACTGTGAAAATACGAAGCGGCAAGAGAAGCAGACCAGAAACACTCAACCCATCATCCCTCAAGAATCTACAGGCATAAATCCAATGGGAATTTCAGGATCCTAAAATGGAGGTACGTTAGTAACATATGTCAGGCCATATTTTCTGGGGATATTCCCTCAAATTTAGGCCTTATTTTTCGGCCAAACATATATGGTAGGTACCTCCAATCAATCGGATCCTGGAATGGCCATTGATAAATCCACATCTTGGTTGGAAACTCGTCAGGATTCCTTTGATGCTTTGGAGTCCCAGGATGTCCCATGGATGCTGCTGATTTGTTGAATAAGTTTCGACTTATACCATCTTATACCTAGCAGCCGATTCACAAGTCATCAAATAAATACTTTATACCTCTTATACCACTTATGGTATACACTTATACCACTTATGTCAAATAAACCACATTCCATAGCTTTTCTTGTGACATCTGGTGACATCTGGTGAACCCTTTCTTTGTGGGTGAAATTCATAGCCAATCTGATTGAAGTACCATTTTTGTGGTCATAAGTACGACATGTCCATATTCAACGGGACTGCAGATTTGGGTCCATTTTTATGGTAACTTGGGACCAATTTTGGAATGCCTAATTTGGGCCAACACAAAACAACATCAAGCTTCGGTCGACGACCTGTTTCGGAAGTGTGGCTCTGCTGATTCGCTGTGTCTTGAAGTATAAAAAATTGAACCAACAATAAAAATATATAAAAACGAAAAAGGTGCCATCATGATGAGGAAAAAACGATACAAATACCATGAATCATACAGCATCATTCAGCAACCAACAGGTTGCCGATCGTCACCACAGCCAGGCCGAGCCAGACCGAGGCACTTGGCTTCGGGGATACTCCAACTGTGTTTCAGTCTGGCGTAGTAGCCGATGACATCGTCCTTGCTGCCCGTAAGTTTCGGCGTAGAAATTTGAACATCAACAAAGGATAACAAAGGGGGGATTAAAAGGCCACAGTCCCAACGAAAACATGGCTGTAAGGAAAAAAAATATCCCCAAATCGCCTTATTTCAGGTGAATTACTCTGATTTAACCAGATCTACTATGATATCATATAAATATATATATATCATATACATGATATGCCAAGGTTTCAAATCACAAAGTCTTAAAAATTTGTTTTCGATCAGACATCCAGACTTTGAAGACTTATATTTAAAAAACCAAAACCTAAAGATAACGAACCAATTTTCAACCAACAACATGTGAAACAACTTTGATGATCTATTCTACAGCGATTTCAATTAGTCATCAGACTATGCGGCAGTAATAATCCGGTGGACTGATGCGTGCGTCCTAAATGAAAAGGATTGAACCAACGAGAGCTTAACATGATGGATTTACCATCAAACAATTGGATTTAACTAAGACAAACATATGATACTGGTTGGTGGTTTCAAACCCTCTGAAAAATATTAGTCAGTTGGGGTTACTATTTCCAATATATGGAAAAATAAAACATGTTCCAAACCACTGATATATTGGAATTTTTCTTACCAGCAATGCATAATTCCAAGCAATCAAATTGTTGGGTCCACAATGTTCAGACAAACATATTCCAATGGCCATTCCAGGAACCCAAATTGGAGGTACCTACCATATATAAGACCTATGTAAGGCTTCTGTAAGGCAATATATATACCCCCAAAATATGGCCTTATCTGGTACAGTACCTCCATTTTAGGATCCTGGAATTCCCATTGATTTTTTGTTGTATTTGCACTTGAAAACCAGACTTCCGCGACCATTTTTCCCCAAATGAACAGTGGTGAGTTGGTTCATGTTTTGTGGCTGTTAGGGTTGTTCTTGAAACTGTGTTTTTTCTTGGGTACAGGGTGGTGCCCCATAGTTAACTAAGTTGGTTTATAAGTCCAAAAACTATGGTTTATAGGTGATATATCTGTAGTTAATGGGATTATAACCCATTTATCACTTGGGGGGGCACCACCGTGTATGACATTTCTTCCCCAACAGATCCAACAAAGGCAAACGGGTAACGAGTCTCTAGTCACTAGTCGATAAAAAACACCCTCCGAACTCCAATGTCGCTAGGGAAAACGGCAAGGCAGTGTGGAGTGTAAAGTGTGGAGTGTGCAATGGGTACAGTGTGGAGTGTAAAGTGTGGAGTGAGGAGTGTAAAGTGGAAAGCGTGGAGTGCAAAGTGTAAAGTGTGGAGTGTAGAGTGTAAAGTGTAGAGTGTAAAGTGTAAAGTGTGGAGTGTAGAGTGTAAAGTGTGGAGTGTAAAGTGTGGAGTGAGGAGTGTAAAGTGGAAAGCGCGGAGTGTAAAGTGTAAGTGTGGAGTGTAGAGTGCAAAGTGTGGAGTGTAAAGTGTGGAGTGAGGAGTGTAAAGTGGAAAGCGTGGAGTGTAAAGTGTAAAGTGTGGAGTGTAGAGTGTAAAGTGTAAAGTGTGGAGTGTAGAGTGTAAAGTGTAGAGTGACTGACAAGTGTCTGGGCGCAATCATGTTGGTCGCTTATGTTTAGCTAGGGGTCGGGACTGACCATCTACCGTTTTCTACGCGAGCAGGTCGGTCCAGTGTGCTTGGTCGCTGAAGAATTCAGCGACACCAACCAGCTTGTCATCCTCCTTCGTCACGTTGGCTATCATGTCGGAATACGCTTGGAGCCCGGTGTCCGTGAGCCCGCTTCCTTGCCACAGCTCCTGGGTAAGACACCACGCCTTTTCATGACACCCTGCCTTAAAAGACAACCATTGTCTCCAAGGGTATGTGTAAGGCATGGTGTCTGGATGAGGTTATGTGTAAGGCATGGTGTCTGGATCATAGAGGCATGGTGTCTGGATCATACAGGCATCTGGATGGAGTTCGTATTTCAACGAAGTATTCGACATGTGGCCAAGGCTCAGCTCTTGGCAACTCATTCATCAGATGCCGCCACTCCGCGCTGATGGTGGGGGGGCGAGGAAACCCGTTCACCAGATGGCGCAATGTAGTGCCCACCAGTTGTGTGTTGTTTGTTATTGTTCACCCTTCCAGCATAAATCCAACAGTAATTTAAAATTACACGCAAATTTCCAAGATTCTTCGCCGCAAACTTCAACGCATACTCAAACTACATACTTCACTCAGAATTTTCGCCACAAATTTCGCCGGCAAAACTTCGCCAGCAAAGTTCGCCAACAAATTTTCGTCAGTTATTTGCATTTGACAAATGAATAGGTTGCCTTTGTGGGCACTTACGTAAACATGAATGTTTATCGGGATAAACCTGGCAACAGTTGAGCAAAAATGAAAATTATAAAATTTCACTCCCAATTTCATTCTGCAAGAATTTTGGTCTAAAAAATTGTCGTGAAATAAACCAACTTACCTACCTTCGGGACACCATTGGCAGCCAAGAAAACACAACAGGTCAGATGAGGCATGAACAAAAAAACGAACATGACCGGGGGGCCACATTGTCATTTGTCATTTATCAACTGTCATTAAACAGTATCAGTAGTACCGCACAAGGCGGCGGAAGTTTCAAAAATAGGAAACCGAAAGGAGAGGTTGGTTGTTGTGAATCACGGATGGCAGAGCGAATTCACTGATGGACTGAAAGGTGGTTGGAGTTGTGTTTTTTTCTTGATAGTTGCAATGGTTGCAGTGGTCCCTCCACCACAACTGCTGGATGTAGTGTGGTGTAGTGCAGTTGTAGTTGTAGTTGTAGTGTAGCGTGATGGAGTTGTAGTTGTAATGTAGTGTAATTAGTGTAGTGCAGTCGCACTTGCAGTTGTGGCTGTGGTGTGGTGTAATTGGTGTAGTCTAGTCTAGTGTGCTGCAGTGTTGTGTACTGTAGTGTGGTATAGTGAGGTGTAGCCTAGTGTAGTGTAAAGTAGTGGAGTTGTAGTTGTAGTGTACTGTCGTGTAGTGCAATGCAGTGCAGTGCAATGTAGCGGTAGTTGTAGTTGCAGTTGCAGTTGTATTTGTAGTGTAGTGTATGTCAATTAGTGTAGTGTAGTGTTGTGTAATGTAGTATAGTTGTAGTTGCATTTGTAGTTGTAGTGTGCAACAGTGTAATTAGTGTAGTGTAGTGTAATGTAGCGTAATGAAATGTAGTTGCAATTGTAGTAGTAGTAGTAGTAGTAGTAGTAGTAGCAGTAGCAGCAGCAGCAGGAGTCGTAGTCGTAGTCGTAGTAGTAGTAGTCGTAGTAGTCGTCGTAGTAGTCGTCGTAGTAGTCGTCGTAGTAGTCGTCGTAGTAGTCGTCGTAGTAGTCGTCGTAGTAGTCGTCGTAGTAGTCGTCGTAGTAGTAGTAGTAGTAGGAGTAGCAGTAGTTGTAGTTGTAGTTGTAGCTGTAGTTGTAGTTGTAGTTGTAGCTGTAGTTGTAGTTGTAGTAGTTGTAGTAGTAGTAGTTGTTGTTGTTGTTGTTGTTGTGTAATTAGCCTAGTGTAGTGTAGTGTAATTAGATGTAATTATATAGATGTAATTAGTGTAGTGGCATGTAGCGTAGTATATCTGCATTTGTATTTGTAGTTGTAGCTGTAGTAGTAGTTTAGTGTCGCGGTAGTGGGAGTTGTAGTTGTAGCTGTCTATCTATCGATCTGTCTATCTGCAAGCTTGAAACGAAGCTATTCTGTGAGACTTCCTCAGTTTTTGATCTTGACAACATCGAAAATGCAGCAAGTCTGCGAGACGTCCAGAATTTTCCAACTTGACAACGTCAAAAACGAAGCAATTCTGCGAGGCTTCCTCAATTTTCCAAGTTGACAGCATTAAAAACGAAGCAATTCTGCAAGACTTCCTTCAAAAATGTAAAGTTGTGCACAGCTGACGGCCTCGTGCCAGTGCGTTTTGCGATTTTTCCATTCCATGTGTCTAAAGTACTGCCCCTGCCACGAAGAAGTGATGCCAGGTCATACGAAATGCTGCACCTGTCACGCAAAATCATCTCAGCAAACCTGCAGATTTTGATGCTCTAAAGTGCAACACCTCTCAGGAAAGCAGCGCCCTGACCTCTTAACATCTCTGATGAACATGTCTTGTACTGCGCCTGCCACGGAAAATGCACCTTTGCAGATCCTCTTCAAATGTCCCACGCTTGCCATCGTTTTTGGAGATGCTACAAAACCCCGCGTTGTGCTCACTCTTGGCAAGGTGCAGAATCCCTTGCGCCTGACACACAAAACGACGCTTCAACGTCCAAAAGTGGCACGAGCACATGTGGTGATTTTAGCATTTTGACTTCGAAATTGGCTTTGCGCCACAACAGCGTACACTTTTTCAACATCACAACTTCCAAAAGTGGTCACACGTTGGTGTTGGTCTGCTTTGCACGTTTTGACTTGGAAATGTGCTTCCCGCCACAACGGCATGCACTTTTTCGACATCTCAACTTCCAAAGGTGGTCCGAACATGTGGTGTTTTGCGCATTTTGACTTGGAAATGTGTTTCGCGCCACAACGGCATACACTTTTTCGACATCTCAGCTTCCAAAAGTGGTCCGAACATGTGGTGTTTTGCGCATTTTGACTTGGAAATGTGTTTCGCGCCACAACGGCATACACTTTTTCGACATCTCAGCTTCCAAAAGTGGTCCTCACATGTGTGCACAATGGCGTGCTATTTTTCATCTCTCATCTGGCCAGATGGCTCCGCATCCACCGCTTTAGCGAGCCTACTTTTCGACCCTCCGGAGCCACAGATCATTGGAAAACAGTGATTCGGGACTTTTCTACCTTTTCGAGCACCTGCATCTTCTTTCTTCTGACTCTTTCTCTTCTCTGATCTTCTTTCTTCTTCCCTTCTCTTCTCTGACTCTTCCCACCTCTGCTTTTCCATCTGTCCATATTGTCGGAAGTTTGACATCCAAACTTCCTTCGAATATCACAAGTATGTCAATATCAACCCGCTTTAGGGCTTGTTCAAACCCATATTTGGTACAGTGTGCGGCCCCCAACTGTCATGTTGCTTAACCAGTCACCACATGAATACGTGTTTGCGTTGTATCTACCGCCACAAGCCAAAGAATTCACATCGTTATTTGCACCAATGTAGCCTATCGTTTTGGGGGCCTACCTGGTAGTTCCATGTAGTTCCTACTTGGAGGATCATCCTAATAGCTAGTTAAGGAACCATAGTAGAATTGGATGATGGGTTAATCTACTAGCCAGGGTTATGAACCACTTACTATAGGGTGATCCTCCAAAATGTCGGGCCTGAAATATTGGGCCATTTTAGAATGATTCCCCTAGAGGTAATCATGATTCCAGGCGTCGGGAGAACCGTGAGGTCGTGATGAAATTTACCCAGAAGTATACACAACACCATTTTTTCGCCTAGTAGCGAGGCATTGGCAGCAGCCTTCGCAGGTGTTGTAGTCCACGGCAGATGTGAGGTCGGAGCAAGAGCTGCCTAGTGCTGCCGGGGTTCGCTGAGAGCGAGTGTCGCGGCACTTCTGGTCATTTCATGGGGATGTACACAAGCCAATTTTATCTATACAATGTGAGGCCCCCAAACGATAGCTAAGTTGGTGCACATAACTGGGTTAACTATGATTTGTGGTCGATATAGCTATAGGTAATGGGGTTTATAAACCAACTTATAACTACGGGGCCCCACATTATACAAAAAGCGACAAAAATATGTTCAGCATCAAAAACTGGAGAGTTAACTTCATGTAATTTTTCAGCCATGGACACTTTAGTCTGGATTGATGGGTAGTAGGATGCTTTATAATTGGGATGTCTCAATCTACCCAACTACTATGTGTGTTTCTCGCGTCTAACAGTATCTAAGGTTGGCCGATTGGCCATGTCTACGTTGAACAACTTGTTTCTCTCGTTCATAGCCGTTCATAGTGACCTCGAACCGTTGTGACTGATCCATATACCTGAGATGTTTACATTTCCACTGGTCCCATCTTCGAACTTATTGACGGCTTGCCTGTGCTTGGTGAAGAAAAACGCTTTTTTGACGCCCATGGAAGCCAACATTGATTTATCTGAAACCATCGGAAACTGGGTATACCCCTAAAATATTGCCATTTTCAATGATTTTAATGGGGAACATGATGATGAACCACTGGATTCCTAAAATAGATACAAAACTGCTTTTGCACCCCTAAGGCCCTGCGACCACTGAAGACTGACCCAATTGATGACCACAAAACCCCACAAAACCCCACAAAACCTGCGTTTCAAGCAGGTTCCCCGTCAACGGATTCAATATATTCAACAGATTTGCCGGGGAAAGCCGCTCCAGAGTAGATATGTTTCCCAGATTAGCTCACCATGGTGCTGGAATATTTACCTACATTTACCCCAAACATGGCCCAGTTTTGTAGGTAAATATTCCAGCATGGTGAGCTAATCTGGGGTTGTTGCTGAAGTGTTAGACCCATCCAACTCGATTCATCCACCATTTCAACTGAGCTATCTCAGTGAATTTCACAAACTTGACCATTTTCTGTTGGCAAAAAAAAATGCATTTTTGGTGAATGACTAACCAAACTGTATCAAACATGTCCCATTTATCCCTGATAAATCCCGACTATAGCCGTTTAATTCCTTACCTTCATGTTGATAGTGAATCCGGGTCAAGGTTCAACCAGAAGTATCCTCTCCCAAGTTTAGATTGTCGCATCCAAAGAACACATATCATCAAAGCCGACCCAAAGGTTGAATCTTCACATACCCTCTGGTAAACATACAAAAAACTATCGAAATCACGATTTTTGATGGGTAAATCCACTATAAATGGCAATTTTCAATAGCTATGTTAGTTTACCAGAGGGTATTTTCGCAAGTTACTTAAGTTGCCGTATTCACTCCAAACATTGAAATCTTTCCTTGACGAAACCGAAACCTCTAGGGGGAGATGTGCAAACACCCTATATTCCAATACACAACTACCCAGTGATTTGTGCTGGAACTCTCTGACCTGTAATATCAAATACCTGAAAACCATGAATTAGCTTTGGATTTATTTGTCTTTTTGGTATCGAATATTTGGTATAATATGGTAAAATATCATTAATATCGGAAATATCATAGTAGCATTAATATCGAGTAGTTTTGTTGGTCGAAAATTGAGTGTAATATCATCCTGAATATCCAATATCGGCTATGTATCCCCACGATGGTTAAACCATGTGAAAAAGCCGCACTTTTGACGGTGAAACGCACCACCTTTGACCGTATGGAACTGCGTTTTCTCTATCCACCGGCCCGTTTTCTCATCCCCATTGTGGATGTGGGTGTCTGAAAATGGTGACCCATAGCGACTTTGCTTCGAAACATGATGATCCTCCCTTGGGTTTTGGGTACCCTATTTTCAGACAGACCCATCTTAAATCCCATTAATTCCAATATTAGCTAGTGAAATTTATGGTTTTACCCTAACTCTTGAGGTACCCTCCGGTGTCCAAACTAACATGGTTTGCTGGAAAATCCATGGGAAAATCCAGTTAGTTCGATGACGGGACCCAACCTCCACTCATGATGGGAATTGGGCGCGAAATTAAGTTGGCATTTTTTTTTTTGGCATTTTTTTTTTTTGGTCGTCCAGGCTCCCTTCCTTGGTTTTTGTAGCTAAAATCTCTCATTCGCACTGTTCGTCAATTTTTCCAGTGGTTTCATGAATTTTCCATGGTGTTTATCGAGTTTTCCATGGTTTTCATTGATTTTTCCATGATTTTCATGGAATTTTCCAAGATGTTCATGGATTTTTCCATGGTTTTCGTCAATTTTTCCATAGTATTCGTCAATTTTTCCATAGTATTCTTCAATTTTTCCATGGTTTTCTTCAATTGCTCCATGGTCTTCTTCGATTGTTCCGTTCTTCCATTTGTCAATGGAATTTTCTATGTTTTTCTTCAATTTTTGTATGGTGTTCATTCATTTGTTACTGGTTTTCATTCATTGTTCCAAAGTGTTCATTGATTTTTACATTGTGTTCATTGTTTTTTCCGAAGTGTTCATTGATTTTTGCAGATACATGATGTGCAAACTACAAACTGTAGATGTATAGAGGTATACATGCATGACTAATCATGACTATATGCATATGTAGATCAATGCATTTACAAGTGTGATTAATATATCTGCAGGGTTTGGTTTTAGGGTTTATTTAGGGCTGGTTTATGGTTTATTCTAGATTTGTTTAAGGTCTATTTAGGGTTGGTTTTAAGGTTTCTTTAGGGCTGGTTTAGGGTCTGTTCAGGGTTTGTTTAGGGTTGGATTAGGGGTTATTTAGAGATACAACATGTACATACAAAAAACTATACTTATGTGGGCGCATATGCATGCACATGATTATTTGCAGTTTATTTTGGGATGAAAGTTGTGTATATAAACAACCATATGTATATGTATATATATACAATATATATATATATACAATATATAAATATATAAAAATTTATATGTATATATATATATAGAGTCTACCCAAACTAGTGTATTGAAATGCATGCAAGTTTGAATTTAAATAAAAAAGGGGGGGGATTGGGGGGAGGGCGCAGCGCCTCCCCCCCAAAGAAGATTGGAAACACATATTTTCACTTGCAAGGTGCTGGGTTGAATGTGATACTCAAGGTGTATATACTACACGACATGCACCTTGGAAACATGTGGAATGTAGGTTAAGGCACAACGATGCACAATAGTTTCATTTGATGTTATCATCGAGTTGGAATAAGATCTCTTTATATAAGGTTTGGTTCAGGGTTGGCTTGGGGTTGAATATCATCCCGACGATAATGCAAACATTTTAGATATATATATAGATATATAGATATATAGATATATAGAAATATAGATAAATAGATATATATACATATATATACAGATATATAAATATATAGTGGTATATAGTGGTATATAGTGGTATATAGATATATAGATACATAGATATATAGATATATATATATATATACACAGATATACAGATATATAGTGGTATATAGATATATAGATATATAGATATATAGATATATATATATAGAGAGAGATATAGAGATATTTATATGGATATATATATATATATAGATATATATATATGTATATATATATGTATATATATATATGTATGTAGATATAGATATATAGAGATCTATAGAAATAAATAGAGATATATAGAGATATAGAGATATAGATATATAGACAATTATATAGATATATAGATATATAGATACAGCCATAGGTGCAGATATAGATACAGATATAGATAGATATAGATAGATATATAGATAGATATAGATAGATATAGATACGTAGATATAGATAGATATAGATAGACATAGATAGATACAGATAGATATAGATAGATATAGATAGATAGACATAGATAGATACCGATAGATATAGATAGATATAGATAGATATAGATAGAAATAGATAGATACAAATAGATATAGATAGATATAGATAGATATAGACAGAATCAGGTAGATAGACAGTTAGATAGTTAGATAGATAGATAGATAGACAGATAGATAGACAGAAAGATAGATAGATAGATGGATGGATGGATAGATTGATAGAAAGACAGATAGAGAGATGATACTCAAGGTGTATCTAATGCACAACATGCGCCTGGTGAACATGCTTCACTGATAGATTGATCGATAGATGATAAATGAACCATAGGAGGGAGGAGCTCTAGGAGCCATGGAAGCCACAGAAGCCGCAGGAGCCACCAGGAGCCACCAGGAGCCACCAGGAGCCACCAGGAGCCACCAGGAGCCAGGACCGTAGAAGCCACAGCAGCCACGAAGCCACAGAAGCCACAGAAGCCACAGAAGCCACAAAAGCCACAGAAGCCACCAGGAGCCAGGACCAAAAAAAACAAAAATTGCCCCAAAAAAAAAACATGCCAAAAAAAATACCCCTCCATGGGAATTTCCCACTTAGCCATGTTTGAGGACACCGAAGGGTAATAGGTATATCCCCTTTTATGGGCTATAAATGGTTACAAGAATCACGCGCAATCACTATGTAGGTAAACTCCCTTCCTGATTAATCAAAAACTAATCAACCGTCTATCAATTATATACTTATCGTGCCCCATTATTTGTGGTTAAAATCCTATAATCTGTTTTTTTTCAGATTAAAACATTATTAAAAGTGGAAATCTTTGGATGATTAACGCATATTTAATTTTGTTACCCTCTGGTAATTTAACATAGCTATGGGAAATCACAATTTTTAATGGGAAAATCCACTATTTCTATGGCCATTTTCAATAGCTATGTTAGTTTACCAGAGGGTAGTGGTTATTGTCAAAGCCCCCAAGGGCCCCATGGAGTTTTTAACTCCGGCAAGCCCTCTGGACTTGGTAGCCTTTGCCAAGGGGCACTGGGTGGAGGCATCACAATTTGCCATATCCGCCCAGCCATCGCACCACTGATCCACCCTCGGCACACAGGGCACACAGGCTTTGCGTACACATAAGGGGTATATCGGTATATACTAACCTGGCACGTCTTTATGATTAGATGTTTGTTTTGCTTTTTTTTAATTTCTTAGAACTACTAAGTATGTATGTAATGTATGTAATGTATGTAATGTATGTAATGTATGTAATGTATGTAATGTATGTAATGTATGTAATGTATGTAATGTATGTAATGTATGTAATGTATGTAATGTATGTAATGTATGTAATGTATGTAATGTATGTAATGTATGTAATGTATGTAATGTATGTAATGTATGTAATGTATGTAATGTATGTATGTAATGTATGTAATGTATGTAATGTATGTAATGTATGTAATGTATGTAATGTATGTAATGTATGTAATGTATGTAATGTATGTAATATGTAATGTAAGGTAATGTATGTAATGTATGTAATGTATGTAATGTATGTAATGTATGTAATGTATGTAATGTATGTAATGTATGTAATGTATGTAATGTATGTAATGTATGCAGTGTATGTAATGTATGTAATGTATGTAGTGTATGTAGTGTATGTAATGTATGTAATGTATGCAATGTATGCAATGTATGTATGTATGTATGTATTTATGTATGTATGTATGTATGTATGTAATTAATGTTTGTATGTATGTAATGTAATGTCATGTCATGTCATGTAATGTAATGTAATGTATGTATATGCACATAAAGACAGGTAGATATCCAACACATCCTGAAAATGGGATGATGAGAAAACATGATCAAACATGACAAAGCGTTGAAATGGATGGGTAGCCTATTCTTTCACAATCAGATTAAGCAAAAAAAACACTCTAGGGATCACCAAGCAGGGTCCAACAGATCATGCTGACAAACCAGGGACCCAGAGTAAGGCTAATTCAATGGGAGATCTTCAGGATCCTAAAATGGAGGTACGTTAGTGCCAAATAAGGCCATATTTTATGGGGATGTTCCCTGAAATTTAGGCCTGAAAAATATGGAAAAGGATCGGATCTAAGCCAAATCCTTTGCGATTCTCGATTCGCTGAACACATGGTGGTTTTGGAAATGACGGTGTTGATGGTGTTGGTAGGTCGCTGTCATTTTGAAAAGGCCTCCTTGCCCGATCAATCGTCTCGGAGCGTCTCGAGATTGACAAAGTCCCACTGCTGCAGCCAATTGGGCAAGTCGCCAGCAATAAACGATTGATGGTTGTCGCTATCAACAAACATACGATTCAATCCCCATTGATTATGGATAGCAGTCGCCATTGATTGCTCAGCACATGGAACACAGCATCAAGAGGAGATCCTGGGCGTGTCCCTCGATGTGTGTGGATAAGGCCTCGGCCAGTGCAAACCACGTACTGCTGTGAACATCTTTCAGCAGACGAAGCAACAAGGGATCCAAACCATTCCAAACCGTTCTGTTCGAGGATTCCGACAAGCGCCATTCCAAGGACTCCATGGACTCCAGCTTCTCCTGGGTCTCGATGGCGTGCGCCCTGTGCTCCATGAGGCGCCTTCTCATGATCAAGTGCATTCTCTTCGCCAATGGTCACCCCTAAAATTTGGATGGTTTTTTAATCAAAAATGGATTATTCTCCCCAATTTTAGGACACCTTCATATCACCAACAAATAATTGGGCAGTTTGTTGAAACAACTCAAGTGCCTTCCACCCAGTGATCGTTTCTTGAAACACCTCATGGGTTAACTGATGGCGATGGGGGCCGTCAGGCTTGTTACCCGCTGGGCCGCTGGGGAAATGTTTTCTGAGTTTCAAGCGATCGCACACTGATGCAAGAAATCCACCAGTTGGTAGATGATTTATCCCATAACATACAATGTGAGGTCCCCAAGATAGCTAAGTTGGCTTATAACTCCAATAACTATAACTATGGTTTATGGTACTTATAACTATAGTTACTGGGGCTTATAAACCAACTTATAACTGGCGGGGCCCACATTGTAATAGTAACTGGTTGGTGGTTTTTCGCCCTACCCCTCTTAAAAATGATGGAGTGAGTTCGTCAGTTGGGATGATGAAATCACCAACTGAATGGAAAAACCAATCATTATGTTCCAAACCACCAACCAAATAATAACTATCCCATGAAAAACATGTGTTTCATATAGTTAGCATTAGGATGGATTCCGCAACCATCCACAGTATTCATCTCCGGCTTTCAGCTAGTTCGGTGAAATCATGTACTATACACAGGGTGGTGCCCCAGTTCGTTTGCTAGGTTGGTTTATAAGTCCAATAACTAAAAATATCTATGATTTATAGATATATATAATCATATATCTACAGTTAATGGGATTATGAGCCATTCATAAGTCCAATTTCACTATGGTTTATAGTTGATATATCGAACTAGTTTTCATGGGATTACAAGCCATTTGGAACTGGGGGGGCACCTTGTATGACATATAGTTAAAGATCCCATATGCTCCATGTATGGTATATGTCCACGTCCTACCCATTTTTTCGACGTTGAAAGCCACAGGCGTCAGCATCGGATGCGTTCTGACGCATCCGACGATTTCTACAAGCTGGTGCCCCCTATATATAGTTATATATATGGGGATGGGTCAAAACCCTGGTACCTAATGAACCCCGAAATAGCTGGTAAATGGATGTTCATCCCACTAAAATGTATCTATAGGTATTGACCCATACCAATATAGTTATTTTATGCCTGTTGGTAACTTTTGATTATTTTCATAAACCTACTGAAATTACGAAAAGATAAACAACAAGAAACATCTACATCAAGTAAGTTGTGGGTTTACATTTACATCACCCAATACACACTAATTTACCCATAAACAACCTATATCTGGATAAAGAACCCATTTAGACAGTTCCAGCAAGTAAGCGGGCTATAAATCACCCAGATTTTTCTATCTCCCAGTTCTTGGGTATATTCAACAAGCCAACCCGCGCTGGAAAATCCCACCATTTCTGTTGATGATTTTCCTATGTTTTTTTTACATGTAGAGTACCAGCAAAAAAAATATATAGACAGGTGATTTATTACTACTTTAGTACAAATTTATTGTGCTATCTTATTAGGGCTGACTATGTAGTGTATATATATATATACACATCTATATGATCTATATGTATATCGATGTATATTCGCCATTATGAAATTGACATGAATTGGATTTCTCATCTTATATAGCCTGGTGATCAAAAACCACGTGTTCTACTTCAACCAGATTAACCACTGCAGTCCACAACCAAGATTTCCCCATTTGTTTGCTGCTTAAAATATATTCCACCAGTTCAATCTCTAAAATTACTTCTGGTTGGTGGTATACCTACCCCTCTAAAAAATATGAGTTTGTCAGTTGGGATGATGAAATTCCCAATATATGGAAAAATAAAATTCATGTTCCAAACCACCAACCAGGCTTGATCAAGTCCCCAAATTAAATACGGCAATCAAGTCTTCCATTCATAGTTGATTTTCCCAGTAGAACCTCCATTTGCAGATTACCTTTGCCATGTTTCACTACCGGGAGGCCAATCTGGTTGATGGTTTGATCCTAACTTCATGCGAAAGTGAATGGGAATCGTCCCTGGAAGGAAAGTCAACCCAGCAACCCAGCAACCAAATGTTGATTGATACCCTCTGGTAGACTAACATAGCTATAGAAAATCACCATTTTTAATAGGTAAACCATCTATAAATGGGCAATTTTCAATAGCTATGTTAGTTTACCAGAGGGTACTGTGGATGGTTGTGAAATCCTGCACCACTTGAAAACGGTGCTTTGTCCATGTTTATCCCATTATGTTTTAAGCTTTCAACGATCCCAGCTGATGCAGGATTTCGCAACCACAATAGGGTGCCACCACTCTGGGCTATACAAAGCCATAAAAATATCATCAACAGGCACTAGGCGGGGCACACCCCCCATATCCAGCATCATATTCCACTTTCAGTTATGTATATATATATATCAATATACCGAATATCCCCATTATCAGTGGATAAAAAATGATAAAACCATACTGGGTACTTACAATCACCAATCAACATAGTATCTTAATATATAGCCGCAGTTCTCTTCAAGTTGTTTCATGTCTTTTTAACTGCTTTAAACATTGAACCGAACATTGAACCAAACAAAAGTGGGAAAAACTTGGTTCCACAAAGTTTTTCACCAAAGATATCCTCAACTTCACTGGTTTCAGAGCCAGGCTTCCACGGTGGTGTGAACGTATTATCATAGACCCCTTGGACGATGGCCCTCGGCATGATGTCACTGGATTGCCACTGGGAAAACAGGAAGTCCTGAGATTTAGTCGGGTTAAATGCCATGGTTTCCTGCAAAATGTTCCGTTAAACCACTATATATATATAAATCCCATTTATACTAAGGTAAAATACTAAGGTAACATATATATATATATATATTGATCTCCTTATTTATGGCAAAATACTAAGGTAACCACTGGTTGTGTCAGTTTTTCGGCCATGAAGGCCTAGTCCAAAACACATGGACGTGGAGCGTTTTTGGAGATCCACCAGGGGCCAGAATAGTTGTGTTTAATGATTAGAGTTCCTGACCATTATGAACAAACAGTTATTATTATCATTATTGATTTATATAATAGTTTGTATAATCTACAATAGTTCATATTCACTAGCATCTTAACTAATAGATATTATAGTGTATATTAATGATGGATAATAATGGTTAATGCGGATAAATAGTGGTTAGCCTCTGGTAATCAAACATGGTTTGCCGGAAAATCACCTTGATTTCGGGGATTCATTCGAAAAAATGGGGATACTGAGCCCTGGTTGGTGGTTTTGAGCCCTACCCCTCTGAAAAATGATGGAGTGACAGTCAGTTGGGATGATGAATTTCCCGTTTCTGTTTCTGGAAAGTCATTCAAAATTCCATGGTTCCAAACCACCAACCAGCTTCAAAACCTATGATCACCATGGGAATAAACATGAATAAAAACATGAATAAACATCCATGAACCAGCTTATTTGGGGTACCATCCGGGTCTAGGTTCCCAGGTTTTGACTCATAGCCATGGTCAAAAATGCTGAAATTCACCTCCATGGGCTCCAAGCCAAGCAATACTGTGGATGGGCCATCTGGTTGGTGGTTGAGCCCTACCCCTCTGAAAAATATGAGTTCGTCAGTTGGGATGATGACATTCCCAACTGAATGGAACGTCATAAAATTCATGTTCCCAACCACCAACCAGCAATTGTTTTGTTTGGCTTTCAACCATCCTTTTGGTGTTTTTTTTTCCGGTTTCACATCCAACCACAGTATGTTCTAGGTATGTTCTAGTATTATTCCATTTTTCTGACGATAAATTGATGTTTTTTCATGTGCCAGTGATGGTTAGTCTCACTGGCTAATGATTGTGCAGTTTCCAGCGCTAGACCTACAAACAACAAATGGTTGGTGGTGTCAATCACCGTCCCATTTCAACAAGTGTTTTTTTTTGTGCTGGTCAGAAGCCTGGTACCCCAACATCCATAGATTGCTTATAAATAGATGTTCTTCCTTCAAATATGCTACTACAGTAGTAGCTTTTGACCCATCCCATTTTTCAAATAAACAGTTTACATATAATATGTGGTATGTAACATAATACTATTTGATATGTAACATAATACAACATTAGATATTAGGATAGACCATGATGCCACAGTTTACATTTCTACTCCGGCCAAAGATATGTAGTTCATCCTACTGAGTAAGTCGATAAGTTCACCCCAGCTGTAAATGGATTAACCCTAAACACATAGTCTATACTACTTATCCGACACTACAGGATGGCCCCCCCAGTTTTAAGTTGGTTTATAAACCGTTATAATTCACATTATTTATAGTTATATCAATCATAAACCATAAAAGCCACTTATAAGGCAACTTAGCTAGCTTGGGGGCCCGATCCTGTAGCAAAAGCAGAGATAAAACCTACTTAGGATTTGTGGCATCAGCCGGAGGAAAGGGGGACGACACTAGGCTTAAGCCTTACAAATTGTCCAGTGAATCCAGTGAACTCTGTGACTGAATCCTCAAACATGGCAAGCTGGGACCTCCAGAGCTCAAGAATTTTCTTTTAATGATTTTAATGAGAAAACACACCAGATAAATCACTATAAAATCGGATTAAATGGGAGATGATAATCAGCCTGGCAGGACTTGACTAGCCTTTAGGCTTTTTCTACTTTTGGAAGCTTTATGTGGTGTCACTTAAAAATTGAGTCATTGGTGGCCCTCAGATCCCACCAGACGAGTTAACTTTGTGATGATTGGGTTGCTGGCTCTGGCTTAGCATGTCCGCACAGTTCTGAACTTTCAGCGGTTGAATGAACAAAATCCTCCTAAAACGAGGGCTGTTCCTGTTTGTTGATCTTTCAGCAATGCATCTGGTGATTCCTACGCCGTGCCGCTACGCCGTGCATGCCCAGTGTCGTTTCAGCTGCATCCAAAGACATGTAGCAAATCTCCGCCATTTGTTGACCTGAAACTTCGACGTGACTGGCACATGGCCATTGGCCAAAACCCAAGGAGTGCCCTGCTGCTCACCCCGAAAAAGCTGGGATATATCGGTGTTCATCAAATCTGCTATTTCAGGTCTTGATCCAAAGCGACATATATACATAGGGATATGTATATATATGTCATATATGTATAATATGTATTTCGTTTAATGACTTGCCAGCTTGAGCTGGCTCTTGGATACCCTGCACTTTAGACTTTTTTTTTGAGTTGGTTCCCACGTATTCGCATCAACATGAAAAAACTATCAAAGTATCAATCTACCCTTCACCAAAATTCACCCACCAGGGCCCGAAGTATGCCGCTCACTCCCACGCTCTGAATATGAAGTTCTCATGAGCCCATGGTTCAATTCAATCTGAGGCTGGTTGGTGGTTTCAATCCCTCTGAAAAATGCTAGTCAGTTGGGATGATGACATTCCCAATATATGGAAAAATAACAAATGTTCCAAACCACCAATCAGATTGAAGTAAACCTTCCGAGTATGGTTGCTCAAATCACGTCACAACTAGCGTTGCTGGAATTTCATGACAATTTCTGCTTGCAAAAGCACAAGTTTGGTGCTTGCTTACCCCTTCATCATTGTTTACCCCAGTATGGTTGTGCAACGCTCCATGTATGGTCGCATGTTGGTTGAAGCTCAGTTATGGGGTCCCCGGGGATCAGGGTTGAATCCATAATTGCTCTGACATCAGCAGCCAGCATCTAGTTGTGTTGTTTAAACCAACGTACCTATATCTAGCTGGAAAATATCTAAATCGCACAAAAAAAACGCCACATTTCATCAAGGTCTACCCATATATTCATCACGTGGGTGTTTCACGCTGTTTCAGAGCCAAAAGGCAAATCTTGTCCCCGCTCTCCCAGGGCAAGAGATCGTAGCTGAAGCTGCTGACCAGCGTATCCACCAACTGAGCGCATTTTTTTAGCAGAGGGGGTTGGAAGACGCTCCCGGGACCCCAACTGCTTGGTGAAAAATCACCATTTTTTTGGTGAAACACTGATAAATCACGGATATCAGGGATAAATCCTGGAAATTTTCTAGGGTGATGTGACTAGTTTATCAAGTTTATCAAGCCCCAAATGTAGTTGGTATGTTTCATGGCAGACCTAGTTTCTAACTCTTCACCAAGTAGTCTCCAAGTACGCCCGACCTGTTGTGCCACTCCGCCACGATTGAAGAAGGCATCGCCTCGCTGAAGAAAGCAGTTCCAGTGGCCCAAATCATCCAATCACTGGATTGGTTTTGTTGGGAAAATTTACAGGAAACCCATGGGTTTTTACCATCAAATTGGTTGGGCTTTCCGGCTAAAATTTTCCCATAATCCAATTCTATGATCCAAAGTATGGGTTTGTCATGGTTTGTCTGTATAATGGTGATTGAACCAGGAATAAATTGAATAGTGGCACAAGAGTGGAAATTTCAGGGGATACATAACCAACTTCATACGATATGATGGCTGGTTTGTCTCGTGATTTAGGAGAAACCCCTTCATTTGATGGCTTAGAACCTCATTTTCCCTATTAAAATGCCATTGTTGGGTGCACACTATCAAACAGACCCATATATGATATGTACAGGCCGATTAAACAAATAGCATATTATCATATATTATATTGTATAGATAACACGTGCGGGATATACCGTACCAATGATAAGTGGGGAATGTATATAAACCAAAAACTGTACTTAGGGATGTATGTAAACAATTATGATTTAAGCAATGAATAATGGGGATTCAAACCAGGATGATTTGCCAAATATGGGGAATATCATGTGGGATATGAGAGCCATTTTATGATTGCCAATGATATCCCGGATCTGAGGCTACAGTAGCAAGGTGCTACCCCATACTTTAAATTGGTTCAGAAGTAGGGCAAGTATTGGGAGTTCATCAACTGGAACTCGGTTGTAAGCTGACAACCTTGGCATCCTGTTTGACCCTAACTTTAAATAGCCGAACAAAAAACACCACAGAAAGACAACTATGACAGATTTTTCCTGATCTCTTTCAGTATCAAAACCATGGAATTCACCATAGATTTTGGACGTTTTTTCCTGGAATTCGAACTGGCTCATTGAGGTCTGGGACACATCCCCTCCAGGATGATGGGATATGGTGGGATCATGTCATGTCATCTCAACTTGCGATCAGCTTGCGCATTCAGCTTAAGCGCGTGCAATGTGTTGGCCAATGTGAAAGCTCCATGAGGTTTATTATATTAAAACATATGTTTACATTGATGTTTTCAAATAATGTCTTAGTTTCAAATCCATATGTGTTATACCACAAATTCACCATGAAATACGTAAACTGGTTTATAACCAATCAACGGCCATTTCAGGAACCTAAATTGGAGGTATCTACCATATATAAGGCCTATTTTTCAGGGAATATTCCCCGAATTCCTATGGCCAAAAATATGGTACTACCTCCATTTTAGGATCCTGAAATTCCCATTGAATAAACAATTGTAATCCAACTACATATACTATTGTTATAACATGCTATAACATAAGTTATGTTCATTGTTGGTTTATACCCCAGATAATTATATTTAGATGGGGTTATAAACCAACAAACACAACTGTGGTAGACATATCTGTGCTATTCTGATACATGGGAGCTGTAGAACAACTGGTCCACTGGTGTCCTCTTTTCCATGCTTTTCCCAGATATCCCATCATATTCCCATGTAGTATCAATGGATTGGTCTTGTTGGGAAAATCGTAACCGGAAACCATGGTTTTTTCCGTTAAATATGAGCTTTCCTGTAAAATTTCCCTTAAACCAATCCATTGATAGTATTTGTAAATCCCTTGTATATAAATAGTTGGTTTATGGCCCCATTTTTTGTTGCTTAAATCAACATATGAAGCCGGTTAAATCCACATTTCTAGCCCTTTAACGATGCGTTTCTTGTTAAAATTAAATTTTGCTTGTAAATGCCAGTTCTTGTTGGCTAAAAACATGCTGGTTACCCTCTGGTTATGACTAACAGTTCGCCATGGAAAATCCCAACCATAAATGGAGAGTTATAGCTGGGAAAATCATCTATAAAATCATCTATTTCTATGGGCCATGGCTTTCATGGCTATGTTAGTCATAACCAGAGGGTTTCTTCTTGATGAATCCCCCCATGAATCGGATATCTCCATCCAGGATCCGTACAATGTGGGGACACAACTGGGTATAAGTTGATTTATAACCATAAATCTACCAGGTTAAACCTTAGATCAGGTTATTAACCATTATAACCTGGTGTTAACCTTAGGATCTGGATCTACCATCAACCTTAGTTCACCAACCAAACCAAGCACCAAATTGGCGAACTAAATCCTCATAAGTCCCATGAGATCAGCGTCGATGAATCTTAGGCGCCGGGCACAAGCCGGACTGGGTGGCGCAATCTGAGCCGGTACCTCCGGTTGCAGTTCAACGGACATATTAGGGAAAACTGCTCCAAATCATTGCCAATCTTACATACCCTGCAAAAAACTAGTTTTTTTGCTGATTAGTAGATAATCCCATTAATACCAAAAGACTAAAGGACTAAAGTATCCATGTAAGATTGGCCTAGAAATATTGTAACTTATTGTACCTTAACGACCAACAGAAGCATGGGAAAAATAAAGACAACTTATTGGAAAGTGACAGACAAATTATGATTTATCATCAAAACTTGAGATTTCTTTGGGAAAAATGAGGATATCGTCATCAATCTCCATTTGGATCCTCCCAGATGTCTTGTACATTTGAAGGGAAAAACCGTTTAAACTATTACTGGTTGGTGGTATACCTACCCCTCTGAAAAATATGAGTTCGTCAGTTGGGATTATGATATTCCCAATATATGGAAAAATAACAAATGTTCCAAACCACCAAGCTCCACCAACCAGATTATAATATATATATATATACCCTATGGTTATTTAACCTAGCCATGGAAAATGGCCCATTTATAGTTGGTTTACCTATTAAAAATGGTGATTTTCCATGGCTATGTTAAATAACCAGAGGGTATATATAAACTGTAGAAAAACCTTCAGACCAATCCAAGGGTCTAAGGGTTTCTCTGATTTGTTGGAAAGCCAGGTTTTTCCCCACCTGCCAGGTGAGGGTTGTTAGATTTTATCTAAGTTGCCTTCTCCTCCTCCTCCTCTCCTTCTCTCCTCCTCCTCTCGTCGTCCTCCTCCTCTCGTTGTCCTCCTCCTCTCGTTGTCCTCCTCGTCTCGTTGTCCTCCTCGTCCTCCTGCTCAACTGCGACTCGCGATCCACAGTGTTCTCTGCCGGACCTCAACCACGACCATCCACGCCCAGTGTTCCCTGCCGGATCTCAACCACGACCAGCCACGCCCAGTGTTCCCTGCCGGACCTCAACCACGACCATCCACGCCCAGTGTTCCCTGCCGGACCTCAACCGCGAGTATCCACGCCAAGGGTTCCCTGCCGGACCTCATGTAGGAAGATAAAATGTCAGATAGAGTGCCAGAAGATTTGCCAGGTAGAATGCCAGAAAATATGCCAGAAGATATGCCAGATAGATATGCCAGAAGATATGTGAGAATATATGCCAGATAGAATGCCAGATAGAATGCCAGAAGATATGTCAGAATATATGCCAGAAGATATGCCAGATAGAATGCCAGATAGAATGCCAGATAGAATGCCAGAAGATATGTCAGATAGAATGCCAGAAGATATGCCAGATAGAATGCCAGAAGATATGTCAGATAGAATGCCAGAAGATTTGCCAGATAGAATGCCAGAAAATATGCCAGAAGATATGCCAGATAGATATGCCAGAAGATATTCCAGAAGATATGCCAGATAGAATGCCAGATAGAATGCCAGAAGATATGTCAGAATATATGCCAGAAGATATGCCAGATAGAATGCCATAAGATATGTCAGATAGAATGCCAGAAGATATGCCAGATAGAATGCCAGAAGATTTGCCAGATAGAATGCCAGAAGATATGCCAGATAGAATGCCAAATAGAATGTCAGAAGATATGTCAGATAGAATGCCAGAAGATGTGCCAGTGTATAAATGTCATGGTGGGGATCACACGAAGTAAAGTAATTTATCCAAGAGTTTCAGCCCTTCAACCTTGGATTGAGACGAAATCGCCTTGCAACTCACCCAGATCCTTGGGAAACCAAAAAAATGGAGATGCCAAAGGTCTAAGGCCCAAGGAATGTGCCCCCCAAAATACTGTTGTATGGTGCAGTAGTTTCATTTTAGGATCGATCTCATGGCTTTCAAATGCTTTCAAGGCATTTGCTGGTTGCCACTGTTCAGTGAATTGGTGTTTAAGAAAAACTTCAGGAAACCCGTAGCTTTGCAGTTTTTTGCAATTCTATTAACCATGTGATCCATGTTCAACCCAAACCAAGGATTTATATCCTTACTTTCTATTCATCTTACCCTCTGGTTATTTAACAGTTCGCCATGGAAAATCGCCATTTTTCATAGGTAAACCATCTATAAATGAACCATTTTCCATGGCTATGTTAAATAACCAGATGGTGAATTTCCCAAAGGATTTAAGGCAATTTTTCAGATGTTTCAACACATGGATCCAGACGGATCAAAAAAGTAGAGGAAGGTATCAACTTTATCAATCGTATCAACCCACAAGACAAGATCAAAACATGACTATATAACACTATATAATTTAATGTCCAATATTTTCGGTGGTAAACTAAGACCATGTGACCATGTGGTTGTGAGACCTGTAAAACAGCTCCTTGGCTCTCATTTTCAATTGGGAATATGAATACAACCATAGCTCCGAACGATAGCTTCGCTGCCTCCGTTCACCACCTGATAGACAAGTAAGATCGTTCACCCTCCGGTAATCAAACATGGCTTGTTGGAAAATCCCTCATTTCTAGATGATGTTCCCATTACAACCTACATGTACAGCGGATTTCCAGCAAACCATGTTTACAGATTGTATGGTCGAGTCATTCCATTCTTTACTGACCGCACTGGCCCTGAGACACTGTAAGGGAGGGTGCAGTGCCAAAGGTTGGTGTATTGGTGAACAATGGAACGATACAAAATCCATTGTATGATTGCGATTCAATTATGGGATAATTGCATATTTAATGTAATAAAGGACCGGATTTTTACCATCAAATGGGGATATTATTGGAGAATTCCTAATTGGAAATTATGGTAAAATATGGATAATAGGTATTCCCATTATGACTTAGTTCACAATCCATATCGAATCAAGTGGTGTAACCAAATATGCTAGCCAACTAACCAATGCATTTTTGATGCCTGAAATGTTGGGCAAACATCTACTGCTTCGTTAACCATGAACAAATACCAACTGATTCGCCAACCATTCACCAGCTGACCCAGAAATCAGCCGGCTACGAAATGAAATTAGCAGATCTTTGATACCGAATCAAGAATTGGCAGATCAATATCCCATTATCATCCCTATAAAACCAGATAAAAAACCATAGTAAGCCCTTTAAACACAACCAGTAATGGCCACCAAGTAGTAACTGGGGGTAAAGCCACATTTCCCAGTTTTTACACGACCATAAATCCAAACTTGCGGATTCATGGCCACTGAAGTAGCGATTGGAGGGTTAAAACGAATGTCCATGGTTAAAACAGAATTTTCCATGTTTCCATTTTTTTCTGAATTTTCGTCATGTTTCTGCATTTTGAGATCCTCGTACTGCTTGGGCGACAAAGCAATCCACAGCATCAAAGTCTCCATCTTGGAAACGTCCACCGCTTCCACTTTGGCAACATCCATGGTCTATCCATGGTCTCTACATCCGCAGTTTCGCTTCGGGCTGCCTTCGTCAGTGGCGTTTTCCCAATGTTTACCCATGGTTCTGGGCAAACTATAATAATTCACAAATTTACCCAGATGCTTGCGGCCTTCCCAGTGAAAACCGTTTTTTGATGATTTTTGATGGTCCGCCGAGGGACACGCCAGCTGCACCTGTTGTGGCATGTCCTGGGACGAAGCTGGCGGATGGCGGCATTTGGACACATATTTGGGAACATTTAAGGATTGGTTAATACTTCAATGGCCATTCCAGGATCCAATACATGGAGGTACCTATCATATATAAGGCCGAAAAATAAGGCCTAAATTTCAGGGAATATCCCACAAAATATGGCCAAACATATGGTACGTTTACGTACCTCCATGTATTGGTCCTGGAGAATTTCCATTGATATCAGGGGGATGGGATTACACGGAACAACTGGTTGGTGGTTTCAACCAACCCCTCTGAATTTTGATGGAGTGAAAGTCACTTGGGATGATGACATTCCCAATAGATGATGGAAAAATAACAAATGTTCCAAACCACCAACTAACTAGATCAATTGAATGAAAGTGGCAATGATTTGGAATGGATGTTTTTTGTTGACTGGGAAAGACATCGACAAAATCTGAAAGACGTTTTTATCCATATGTTTGCGAATTGGCGAATTATTATAGTAAGTCTGTATGTAAGTTTCTTATCCCACAATTATCTTATAAGTGCCTCAAAACTTTCATGTTCATATCCCATTTGATGGATAAAGCAATCCCGTCTTGAAAATCAGAATTATCTTGGAATTGCCCCATAATCACGTTCTAATCATCTCACAAATGTCTCACTTTACGTATCCCCTCGTAATTCACACTGGATAAGATAGTCATGCTTACACTACGGCCATACGTATCAAATTGTTATTTATGTTCATGTTTTCGTCAATCCATGACCGGTGTGAAAGATCCATGCCAAAATGTCTTGGGATTGCAGCCAGCAACACTTGAGAAAACGGCATGAAACGATGTGTAGCCAGCAAAAGCTGTAAAACAATAAGTTTCAGCAAAACATCATGCTTTCAACAAACTACTCAGAAAAAAAAATATATATTATATATTCCGGAACAACTGTTGTTCATACTGACACCCTCGGCATACATCTTTGTTTACGCTTGAAAACTATGGATTTCGGAGAGACGCTACATTTTTCCAGGGCTGGAACTTGGAATCTGAACGAAATCTGATTCCAAAGCCACTGCCTGGCCTCCACATTCATAAAAGAACGCGATTAAAACGTTGATGTGGGTAAAACAAGATCATGTTTACCATCCCCCAGTCGTCACCATTTTTATAGGTGGTATGCTTACCATTCCCAGTCATGGGTGGTAAAAATGGCATTGTTTTTCCCACATTACATCAGATTACTAAACCATACCCTCTGGTAAATCAACATAGCGAACTGGAAAATCACAATTTTTGATAGGTAAATCAACTATTTCTATGGCCAATTTCCAATAGCAAACCGTTAAATTTCAATTTCCACGTTCCACTGAAACGGTCCCACATGGACTCTGATCTGTGGATCAAGAGCCTGAACAAATCAAATGGACCTCTGGGGGATGTTCACTTGCTGGATTGCAATCTGATAAGACATGAACATATTTAAATCCAGCGTCTTTTGTGAATAGGTGTATAACTATATGTGTATATATATATATGACATATTGCTTCACTGTTCCTGTTCCTGCGGAACATCGAATCTTTCTTGTGGAGCTGTTTTCTTGACAGGAGGAGGTTAAGATAACCAGTTTGTGTATGAATTCCACGGTCCCAACTCCATCAATAAGAGCCAACTGCTGGTAGTTCCCCTCAATCTGGACCCATGTCTAACCCTAAACTGAAGATTTCTTGTCATGTGTAGGATCTATTCATGTTAACTATACCGAAATCTTAAGGCAACGGCTGAAGCACTCGGCTTACTGGCGGCAGGGCTCTAGAGGCTCTAGCCTTCGTGTAGCCTTCGTGCCTGACTTCCCAGGGTTGTTCCATCTCCTCATTCCGAATCATTCCAGCCATGTCCCCTCTGTTGTCGTGCGCCCTCAAACTTTCGGCAGTACCGCTGACCTGAGTCTCCTGACCGACCAGAATCACTCTGTTCTCAGTGTTTGGCTGACTCTCCGAAGAATCCCCGGACATTGGGAGATAATGAATCCCTTCTCCCCACAATGCCCACCCTAAAGACATCGTTTTTACGTGAATTATCTAATTATATAGGATGATGTTCCCACTTCAATGTTCTTTCATACGGGATTTCCATGGATTTCCTACATTTCTTGGTACAAAAACATATTTCTACCATGGATCCACATCAACTCATCCATCTCCAATTCCATCCCAACCTGCAAACGACGACTTTCGCTGCTGCCGATGGTGCGCAGCTCCTGGTGTGCAACGGGGGAAGTTGAGCCTGGTGCCATTTTGAGATATAGTGGGGATAAGCTAAATCCAACCAATAGATATGGCACCAGATGTATTTTAGTGGTTGTTACTTCATGTTATATCCAATGGGGTTAAATATTAGATATTTAGTTGGTTATTGAGATATTGATGTAACTAACCATCTTAACCGCCAGTTCTTCTACGTCAGTTTTTTTGAAAAACACATCACCATCAACACCATCATCATTATCATCACATCACCATCACCGTCATTTTCACATATGCTGAATGATTGTCTGGTTGGTGGTATACCTACCCCTCTGAAAAATATGAGTTCGTCAGTTGGGATGATGAAATTCCCAATATATGGAACAAGATGAAGCCCACGAACCCGAATGCTCACACGTATGTTAATGGCACAGATGTCAAAACACATGGTTATGCAGTCACGCACAATACCTTTCTGCAATAGTTTATTTGAACAGTCTTGTGCATGTTTCCCTTGTTACCAGTCTGCAGTGTGGAGTGGAAAGTGTAGAGTGTGGAGTGTGGAGTGTGAAGTAAGGAGTGTGGAGTGTAAAGTAAGGAGTGGGGAGTGTAGAGTGTGTAAAGTGTAGAATGCGGAGTGTAAAGTGTAGAGTGTGGAGTATGGAGTGTAAAGTGTAGAGTGTAAAGTGTGGAGTGTAGAGTGTGGAGTGAGAAGTGTAAAGTGCAAAGTGTGGAGTGTGGAGTGTAAAGTGAGGAGTGTAAAGTGTGGAGTGAGGAGTGTAAAGTGGAAAGCGTGGAGTGTAAAGTGTAAAGTGTGGAGTATAGAGCGTAGAGTGTAAAAAGTAGAGTGTGGAGTGTGGAGTGTAAAGTGTGGAGTGTAAAGTGTAGAGTGTGGAGTGTAAAGTGTGGAGTGTAAAGTGTGGAGTGAGGAGTGCAAAGTGTGGAGTGTGGAGTGGAAAGTGTGGAGTGAGAAGTGTGGAGTGTAAAGTGTGGAGTGTAAAGTGTGGAGTGTAAAGTGTGGAGTGAGGAGTGTAAAGTGTGGAGTGTAAAGTTTGGAGTGTGGAGTGGAAAGTGTGGAGTTGAAGTGTGGAGTGTAAAATGTAAAGTGTGGAGTGTAAAGTGTGGAGTGAGGAGTGTAAAGTGTGGAGTGTAAAGTGTGGAGTGAGGAGTGTAAAGTGTGGAGTGTGGAGTGTAAAGTGTGGAGTGTGGAGTGGAAAGTGTGGAGTTGAAGTGTGGAGTGTAAAGTAAGGAGTGTGGAGTGTAAAGTGTGGAGTGTGGTGTGAGGAGTAAAACGTGTGGAGTGTGGAAAGAGGAGTGTAGAGTATAAAGTGTGGAGTGTGGAGTGTACAGTCAAGTGTGGAGTGTGGAGTGCAGAGTGTGGAGTGGAAAGTGTAGAGTGTGGAGTGCGGCGTGTAAAGTGGGGAGTGTGGAGTGTAGAGTTTGGAGTGAGGAGTGTAAAGTGTAAAGTGTGGAGTAGGGAGTTTAAAGTGTAGAGTGTGGAGTGTGGAGTGGAAATTGTAGAGTGTAGAGTGTGGAGTGGGGAGTGTAAAGTGCAAAGTTTGGAGTGTGGAGTGTAAAGTGTGGAGTGAGGAGTGCGGAGTTTAAAGTGAGGAGTGTAAAGTGTGGAGTGAGGAGTGTGGAGTTTGTACATTGTAGAGTGTGAAGTGTAGAGTGTAAAGTGTAGAGTGTAAAGTGTAGAGTGTGGAGTGTAGAGTGTAGCGTGTGGAGTGTGGAGTGGAAAGTGTAGAGTGTGGTGTGTAGGGTATGGAGTGTGGAGTGTAAAGTGTGGAGTGTAGAGTGTGGGGTGTGGAGTATAAAGTGTGGAGTGTAGTGTAAAGTGTGGAGTGTGGAGTGTAAAGTGTGGAGTGAGGAGTGTGGAGTGTAAAGTGAGGAGTGTAAAGTGTAAAGTGAGGAGTTAGAGTTTGTAAATTGTAGAGTGTGAAGTGTGGAGTGTGGAGTGTAAAGTGTGGATTGTAAAGTGTAGAGTGTGGAGTGTGGAGTGTAAAGTGTGGAGTGTAAAGTGTGGAGTGAGGAGTGTAAAGTGTGGAGGGTGGAGTGTAAAATGTGGAGTGCGGAGTGTGGAGTGGAAAGTGTGGAGTGTGAAGTGTGGAGTGTAAAGTAAGGAGTGTGGAGTGTAAAGTGTGGAGTGAGGAGTGTAAAGTGTGGAGTGTGGAGTGTAAAGTGTGAGTGTGGAGTGTAAAGTGTGGAGTGTAAAGTGTGGAGTGTGGAGCGTAAAGTGTAGAGTGTGGAGTCTGGAGTGGAAATTTTAGATTGTGGAGTGTGGAGTGTAAAGTGAGGAGTGTAAAGTGTGGAGTGTAAAGTGTGGAGTGTGGAGCGAGGAGTGTAAAGTATAAAGTGTGGAGTGTGGAGTGTACAGTAAAGTGTGGAGTGTGGAGTGCGGATAGTGGAGTGGAAAGTGTAGAGTGTGGAGTTTGGCGTGTAAAGTGTGGAGTGTAAAGTGTAAAGTGTGGAGTGTGGTGTGTAAAGTGTAGAGTGCGGAGTGTGGAGTGGAAAGTGTAGAGTGTGGTGTGTAGAGTGTGGAGTGTGGACTGTAAAATGTAAAGTGTGGAGCGTAGAGTGTAAAGTGTAGAGTGTGGAGTGTGGAGTGTGGAGTGTAGAGTGTAGAGTGTGGAGTGTAGAGTGTAGAGTGTAAAGTGCCGAGTGTAAAGTGTGGAGTGAGGAGTTTAAAGTGTGGAGTGTGGAGTGGAAAGTGTGGAGTGTAAAGTAAGGAGTGTGTAGTTAAAAGTGTGGAGTGTGGAGTGTAAAGTGTAGAGTGTGGAGTGTGGAGTGTAAAGTGTAGAGTGAGGAGTGACTCAGGTGAGGAGTTCCCCCATAGACACGGCGACGCCACAGGAAAACCAGAGACTCGAGACGAGACACGTGGGTGCAAAAAAACGAGCATTTCGTGCGAGACTTCCGCCAATTTTGATATTTTCCACATGTTATCAAACAGGTTGGAATGTCACAAAGTGCCACGCCTGCCACGCAAAACGACATGACAACCTGCTTGGAAACATTCGAAAAGGACATGTTTTCCAGCTTCCCCCATAGACACAGCGACGCCACAGGAAAACCAGCGACTCGACACAAGACACGTGGATGCAGAAAAACCACCATTTCGTACGAGACTTCCTCCAATTTTCACAGTTGGCAACATGACAAAAGGACAAGTTTTGCAGCTTCCCCCATAGACACGGCGAGGCCACAGGAAAACCAGAGACTCGAGACGAGACAGGTGGGAGCACCAAACCGACCATTTCGTGCGAGACTTCCTCCAATTTTCATAATTTGCAGCTCCAAAATCGACGTTTTCCTACGAGTTTTCCTTAGAACCTGAAAATTTGTAACATCAAAATCGATGTTTCGTGGGAGGCTTCCGTCAATTTTCAACACATGTGAGAAAATGCCACGCCTGCCACGGAATTTGCACCTTGTCACCACTTGACGCAGCCCTGCCAATGCGATTTACAAAAAACACGCAAAAGGACACGTCTAAAGTGCTGTGCCTGCCACCAAAAATGACGATGGACACGCCCAAAGTGCTGCGCCTGCCACGAAAACTGCAACACATCTTCTGAAAACGTCGCAAAAGTATTGCGCCTGCCACGCGAAACGACTTTCGACACGTTGCAGAACACGTCTGAATGTCACGAAGTGCCACGCCTGCCACGCGAAACGAAGCAACCAGACGTCTGAAACCTCCAAAAAGGACCACCTCTGCAAAACTTCCCATAGGCACGGCCATACGGAGTTCGCGCGGACGGTTGCGAACGGTTGCGACCACAAACGCAACGTCGAGCGAACACACCCTCAACCCCCAGACCCCCAGAGTGAAACGGGAACCCTTGCTACGCATTCGGGAAAAATAAACAGTCTTCCAAACCACCAACCAGTTGTATATTTATATCATGTTTGTTGTTGTTGGCCCATTCGGATCATCACGATCATATGACCGGTTTCCTCGAAAAAGGGGGGGCCTTCAAAGCATATAAACCCATCCCCCGAAGAATATCAACAATGGGGAACGGTACCCAACAATAGATCCAATACACAAGCAGGATGTCCATTGTTTTTTTTGGGAAAAAGGATTGCCAATTTCCAAGATAATTCAATATGTCCAGTATTTTGTTCCTGGAAAATATCCGATTTTTGATGGTCAAATATCTCCACCTAAAGTTGATATACCTTTCTCAAAATTGCCTTTTTTAGTCAAACTTGACCCCAGGTTCTTGGACATTTCTTAACCCATGGTAACCAACGTACCAGATTTCCCCACAATTAACTCATGTTACCAGATTCTTGGATTATTACCCTCTGGTTATTTAACATAGCCATGGAAAATGGATGAAAATGGCCCATTTATAGACGGTTTACCTATTCAAAATGGTGATTTTTCATGGCTATGTTAGTCATAACCAGGTGGTATAAACCCATTCTTGGTTTATTCACCCATTTTTTGGTGCATTTTTTCTGGGTTTGACCCAGTCCATGATGGTCCATGTCACCGTTTCAACGGGGCTCCTCAGTAAAGCTGGACATGGGATGATGAGGTGGCGCCTTGGCAGAAGATGGTGGCAGAGTTTCTAGAATCATTGGATCATCATTATGGTTATTAATACCTAATCTAATCTGGTTGATCTAGTTTCTAGGAATCTTTATGGTTACTATAGTTTCTTATGGTTATTAATACTAGATTAAGAATGGCTAATCTAGCAAGTACCCATTAAGAAACTATAGTAACTATAGTAACCATATTACGAATAAGTTACGATTATATACTATGGTTACTATTAGTAATGGCTAATCATGGTTAGTTATATCAATGGATTGGTTCAAGGGAAAATCTACAGGAAACCATAGATGTTCCCACTAAATATGGGGTTGTCCTGTAAATTTTCCCTTAAACCAATCCGTTGACTATAATAACCATCAATAATATCAATTTAATATTACAATAATAGTGGAATTTGTCCATGAATAACATCAGTTATAATAGTGGAATGATAACTATATATATATATTGATGTGATCACCATCATAATAGTGGACTATGAGATCAATTCGTTTGTGTTTTTTCCAACTTGTTTCTGATGTGTATATATATATATTACTAACATTAATTGGTAATGTTGTGGATGATTTAGGATGATATAGAATATCCTAGTAATAAACCAGAACAAAACAAACTGATGACATGAACTCATGAACTTCTAGTGGTATGTATCCACTGATTAAAAAAAATAGTCATTGGTAGCATGTAGACATTGTATTGAAATCATCCGGCCCGGTGGGCCCCGGTGCACGGAAAGAGGCCTAAGAACATTTCGTAAGAACACATTAATAGTGGTTAATAGTTGTTAATAGTGGTTAATATAGTTAGATCCCTTCGTAATTCCTACTATTATCCACTGCTTGGTGGTATACCTACCTACCCCTCTGAAAATGATGGAGTGAAAGTCAGTTGGGATGATGACATTCCCAAGTGAATGGAAAGTCATAAAATTCATGTTCCAAACCACCAACCAAATGAATTATACCATTGGGAAATGCTAGAACTTGGAAAAACTTTTGGAATATGATAGAAAAAGAGTAAGCAAAATTTACAAAAAACTTGAAATTATCTTTTTGCACTATGGGATCAGATTTTGCTGTGCTTTTTCCTTGGTGGACTAAATCTTTGCAATACTAGAACATGCTGCTAACATAAACAAACCCTCCAAAAACCTGCTTTAGGATTGGATCTGTTCATTTTGACGTCCCATTTTGAAGGCACTTTATTGCAAAGTGAATGAATGCCACACGTTTCTACCTGAAGCCTGATTTTGAACTGTGTTCTACCAATCATGGTCAATATCAGATGCCCTGTTCATATATCCCCGTTTATTATGCCATCAGGCGTAAAACGCCCATCCAAAATCTCCCTAGCTGCTCCCTACATAATTAGCTGCACAATGCCAGAACTGTAAAGTTGGCAGGAAGGAAAGGTTCTTGATTGCCATGTGTTTACTTGGAAAATTATTTCCTGCATAGACCATTGGCGGAATATTGCTGGATTGCGTAGCTGCTGATGCAGAGTCCAGCAAGTACCTTCTTCCGCGCATGCACAGTTCACTTATCGTTCCAGATTGAACTGCTGACTGATTCTCTTTCGGAGAAGTCCAGTTTTTTGAAACATGGGATGATCGACACATCCAGTTGGGATTGAGAGAAGGGCGAAATCCTTTTTGGCGCCGCACTCGCCACTTGTTCAGCTGGAGCTGCCATCCCAAGCAGCACAGCCGGGGGTCAAAACGGTCAAATGGACCTGCGCCCCAAGCCCCAAAGACTTGTGACTCCTGCACCGCATCATGTGTTCCAGGAGCTGATTCGTTGGCTCAGAAATACATCCCACAATTGCCTTATAAATTTAACAATGACACGGAAACAACCATTTCCAGGCCCCAAAATTCAAAGAAATTCACAACACAACCCTCAAATTCCTATTTGAATCATCTAAAAACGCCTTACATCCAAAATTTGCTGCCGATATCATATGTTTTGATCCTTATACGTCTTTTATGTATGGAATGTCACCAGTAGTGTATGGGAAATCCCAAAATTTGATGCGTTATCACCAGCTTCCTTATTAAGAGTGCCACTTTGGGATATACTCCATTTTTCAGTGTTTGGTAAATCACCAACAGTTGAATATCTACAGATATGTACATGGGGTTAGATAGGCTAGACGTTTTGATCATTCAGCAACCTAAAAACAAAAAAAACTATTTGGGAATCATTCCGCGGCAGCATGAGGTCGTGATCAAATTTATGAATGCAGATGTCGACATCCCCAGAAAAAAATCTTCATGCTGGCTGATTATTATCTCAAGATATCCCACGCTATCCTGTCAAAAACCACCATTATTGCCTGTTCTGTTCTTGTTACCAGGATTTTTTACCAGCATATTATCCACATGCTGTTGGCAATTGTATGGAGGTTTCCTAAAATGGGGGTACTCATAAACCATCCACTTTTGATTTGGATTTTCCATTGTAAAGTATCCAGCTATGGGGGTACCAGCAATTTCAGGAAACCACCATATCACCTGAGGATCACAGATTCGCGGGCCCAACTGTAAATGACTTGCGATTCACCACTTACAATGTGGAGCCCCCTATGTTGGTTGATCTGTACAGGCCTTTAACTATAGTTATATCTACAGGACGGTGCCCCAATTTCATTATGGTTTTTGTTGGTGATATATTGAACTAGTTTTCATGGGATTATAACCCATTTACCCTCTGGTAATTTAACATAGCTATGGAAAATCACCATGTTTAATGGGAAAATCCACTATAAATGGCCATTTTCAATAGCTATGTTAGTTTACCAGAGGGTATAACTGGGGGGGCACCGAAGTGTTTACGAAGGAATTTTACGGGGCCGAGGTACGGTGACGACACCCCCTTCGTTCTGCCACTTCTTCAAGGCTTCACCATGGTTCTGCACCAAGGTCAGGTACCTGGACCGGAGATGCCAAAGGTCAATGTGAGTGGAATGTGGGGCCAAAAAAAACGTGATGTAAATCTTGCTTTTGCCCATGAACATTGATGAAAATTCTAGTTATATCATCTTATATCTAGCATGAACCATAGTTAACCCAGTTACAAACCCTTTAAGTCATGTAAGTTGATTTATAAAGCCCGTAAACACTATATAGTTATACCATAGAACATAGCTAGTGGGCCAAAACAACTGAGCAATTGTTTGATAATCACACCTTGGATCTTGCAGAATGTGGGGCCCCTAATACTTAACTATGGGGATATAATGAGGAGATGACGAACGAAAACGAACTTGATATAACCAACTTGAAAACTACGCTGGTAGCTAGATATTTAATTCGCATTTATATTCATGCAAGGTGGGCCCCCAAATATTTAAGTTGGTTAGTCCACTTAGTTCAACATCTGGTTTAATTATGGTTAAGTTGTAACTATGGTATCATTAATAAGCTTTATATACCAACTTACAAAACTAGTGGGGTCCACATCATATATGAGCAAATTTCTCGCGATAATGATATTATCGTTCATGTTACAAATGCTGCTTGATATTATGGTTGATACTGGTCAATTGTCGGATTTGCCCCAAAAAAGCAGCAACCCTAGATCCCCTGTTTTATTATAGTTTGTTAAACTAAAATGGCCGTTTGAGGGCATAATCAATATCAATGTCGTTACTTGTCGTTCAACTGGGATGTGAACGTCTGGGATGTGAACGTCGATGAGTCATCCGCTCAGCAGGTACCCTCTGGTAAACATACAAAAAACTATGGAAAATCTCAATTTTTAATGGCTAAATCCACTATTTCTATGGCCATTTTCAACAGCTTTTTCTATGTTTACCAGAGGGTATACAATGCGTTTCTATGCATTCCTGTTCGTTTGGGAATCCAAAGAACCATGGGAAAAATGTGCCAAACCAACTGAATCTGCGGTGCGTGAGGTGAATCAAAGGATTCACAGTGACGTGGATGGGAGTGGAGAGTGGTTGCTGTTTGTGAATCAGACTTCCTGTAGTCCAATCCCATCCAATAAGATTTATGTTTACAATCCAATATTGAATATTATTCTAATAGCAATCCCATCCAATCCCAATATTAAACACTCCCATTCTATGCTCCCAAATATGTTATTTCATCTCTTGCATGCACCATGGTTTCTGGGGGAGATTAATTATAAAGGGGGGATGGGATCACATTCCATTCTTCCATGACCGTCCCCATGATGTTCCATACATAAATAAATATATATATAATTAAATAGATATAATAGGTATATATTTTTAGATTCCAGTTCGAATGTGCAAAATGATGCTGACCTGCTGTGCGAATGACACCCCCCGCGACCTATCACAGCTTAAGGTGATCCCGAGTTGTCGGTTGGCGCGAAGCCCAACGTTGATCGTTATGTGGCCAGGTATAGGTTGATGAAAACAAAGCCAATAAATAGTATGCTTATATTCACATTGGATTGATGGCGGATTTTGTTGTTTGTATATAAATATAAATATATATATATATTAAGCATTAACTGTATATATATATATAGAGCATAATCTTGGATATTTATGGAATTTTATCTGGTTGGTGGTTTCAACCTATCAATTTGAAAAATATGAGTGAAGAGTCAGTTGGGATGATTATATTATTCCCAACTGTTTCTGGAAAGTCATTCAAAATTCCATGGTTCCAGTCACCACCAACCAGAACAGTATATATATATATAATTATCCTTGGATTTGCTGGGTCCCCAAAAAAATACCATACTCACAACAGAGATTCGCCAGAAAATGGTGGATCTTCGGGAAAATTTTCAGAGGCACCTCTTCTGCAGCTCTTGGTGCTGCTTCTCCAGCAAATTCCTGCAGTTTCGGCCATTTATTGGTTAAAACTGGTTATAAGTGGGATTATATATTTTATAAGTGGGTATAGTTCAGTACTTATAACTGGTAAAGGACCATAACTGTGAGAGGTGACATGGGAATGATTCGCAACAAGTTAGAATTGTGATAGGTTCCACAACAAAATTGGATTCAAGACCGCAATTAATTCGGATTAAAGACAACAAAGGTGTGATTCAACACAGCCAAATTAGGAATTAACAGGAAAGAGTGGGATTCAGCACAGCAAAATTAGGATTCAAGACAGAGATAGTTGGATTTATGATAGCAAAAGTTGGAATTAAGACATCACCATTGAGATTTTAGCACGTACCATTTGAAACTGCGAAAGCAAATCGTAGGTGGTAAATTCGCATGGGATGGAAAGAAAATCGTGGTATTTTTCAGAAATGGTGGCTTAATCATGCGAAAAATCAACAAAACACTGGGATTTAAGCGACACATATACTAGCCCAAGCGCACATTTTACGCACATGTTACGCACATTTTACCATTTTTTTGGGTTTAGCCAACTGTTCAACAATAATGACCGTTTTGGAAAATGTAGAACCACCTCTGAACCCCAAAAAACATCGCTGATATCCCAAATATACTGTTACAGTGATTCAATTGGCAATCATCAGACCGCTGGATCAAGATTCACCATGAACACTTTTCGTTAGCCCCCACCAGTGATGTAAACATGGAACCGATCTGGGACAATTCATCATTTTTGCCGCGATTTCCCCGTAACAAAAACGCGAGAAGTGCAGCAGATTTTTGGCAACACATACGGGGATCGCCTTGGTTTTTCACCAACAAGTACAAAATTCAGTCATCATAATTATGAATCATAATAGCGGTTTATCTAGTTGAAAAAATCTGGCTCTAATGATAATTGCGGATTCATCTTTCAATCGTTTTAATTGATGACAATGGATGGTACTCGAGTTGGAGACTTGGGTGTGCCTGAAAATGGCACAAAAATCAAATAATCATTTTGATAGGGACAAATTGTGATTAACCGTTGGATTTGGGGGTGTCCCCGCACAAAATCAAGAAAAACCTACAAAACAGCAACAAAGACAATCATTCCAGCAACAAGACAGGAGTTTTTACACCAACATGAAGCTCACAATGTTTCACCATTAACAACGGTAACCCCAGCAAACAAACATCTGGACTAAACCGGTAAACAGTGGGATTTGTTTCCAGCCAACGCTACCAGGCTTTGTTTCAGGCACATATCAAAGAGAAGAAACACATTCAACTAATTACAATGTGATTATTTAACGTAGCTTTGGACAACGGATGAACATAGCCCATTTCTAGATTATTGACCTGTGAACAGGATGGACATGTTCATAGTTTTGTTAAGCTTTCGAAGATAAACACACGTCTTTTCCACAAAAAAAGCCTCAACCAGGTGATGGCCATCAGGTAATCTACAGTAATGAGCAAAAAAGGCCACTGTGTAGACTTCATTCTGAAGCGAACATCTTTGCAGCAAAAAATGCTGGATTTCCCATCGAAATACTCGCTGATCATTTGACACTTTGCTATGGAAAATCACCATGGTTGAAAGGTAACCCAGGTAACCCAGGTAACCCCGCCCCGCCCATCGTCGAAGCCAGGTCGAAGCGCCTGCGTGCAATGACGCCCTGGAAGTTGGTACGACCCACGTTCTGCTCCGCGAGCTGCTTCCTTGGCTGGGGAAATTCATCAAACCCCCATTGTACTGGAGAGTTTTTCGTGGGAAAATCAGCCTTTCTTCTTGAAAGTGCAGTTGAATCTAACATAGACCCGGGCAAGCCGGCGGCGGAAGTTTCCCAAACATAAATGACCTATAGTTCAAAGACACCCTGTCCCGACCGTGTCCTTCCCTCGACACTCCACACCTCACACTGCACACTGCACTCTTCGCAATCCAAACTTCAAACTTCACACTCCACACTTCACACTCCACACTTCTCACTGCTTCCTTCACACTCCAAACCTCACACTTCACACTTCACACTGCACACTTCACACTTCACAGTCCACACTTCACACTTCACACTTCACAGTCCACACTTCACACTTCACACTTCACAGTCCACACTTCACACTTCACAGTCCACACTTCTCACTTCTCACTTCGCACTTCACACTTCACACTCCACATTTCACACTTCTCACTTCTCACTGCTTCCTTCCAAACTTCACACTTCTTCACACTCCACATTTCACACTTCTCACTTCTCACTGCTTCCTTCACACTCCAAACTTCACACTTCACACTTCTCACTTCGCACTTCACACTTCACACTTCTCACTTCTCACTGCTTCCTTCACTTCCAACTTCTCACTTCTCACTGCTTCCTTCACACTCCAACACTTCACACTTCTCACTTCGCACTTCACACTCCACACTTCACTCACACTTCACACTTCACAGTCCACACTTCACACTTCTCACTGCTTCCTTCACACTCCAAACACTTCACACTTCACACTTCACACTGCGCTCTTCGCACTCCACACTGCACAGTCCACACTTCACACTTCTCACTTCACACTTCTCACTTCTCACTGCTTCCTTCACACTCCAAACTTCACACTTCTCACTTCGCACTTCACACTCCACACTTCACAGTCCACACTTCGCACTTCTCACTTCTCACTGCTTCCTTCCCACTCCAAACTTCACACTCCAAACTTCACACTTCTCACTTCGCACTTCTCACTGCTTCCTTCACACTCCAAGCTTCACACTTCTCACTTCGCACTTCACACTCCACACTTCACAGTCCACACTTCACACTTCTCACTTCTCACTGCTGCCTTCACACTCCAAACCTCACACTTCACACTTCACACTCACTCTTCGCACTCCAAACTTAAACTTCACACTCCACACTTCACACTTCTCACTTCCCACTGCTTCCTTCACACTGTACACTTCACACTGCACTCTTCACACTCCACACTTCACACTGCACTCTTTGCACTCCAAACTTCACACTCCACACTTCACAGTCCACACTTCTCACTTCTCACTGCTTCCTTCACACTCCAAACTTCACACTTCACACTTCACACTGCACTCTTCACGCCCCACATTTCACACTACACTCTTCACACTCCACAGTTCATCTCATCTGAGCTCTTCTCACCTTATCCCAGCTCATCTCTTCTCATTTCGTCCCTTCTCATATGTCATCTATTAAGCTTTCATTAATCAATTCCCAGCACTACTACTAATCACTGTCGAACCCTTGATGCAGCCACTCCAATACGATTTACGAGATCCAGCTGCAAAAGACAATAGTATTACGAATGCAGCCACAGCACGAAGCAACCTTGAGGCAGCCATTACAATGCGATCTGCAGAGACTGAGTTGCAAAGCACAATAGAACTACGCACAACGGCGTCGGAAATTGTAGCTCCAAAACCGGATCTCGACGCCAGAGCGAAAAAAAGACGATTTTGAAGCACTTTTTAAAAGAATTTTTAGAAGGAAATTCACTAGCGCCAAAATGAAGAAAATCTGCCAACAAATCACTGTGGCAGCCTTCATGCAGCCACTCCGATACGATTTACGAAGTCCAGCTGCAAAAGACAATAGTATTACGCATGCAGCCGTGGCAAGAAGCAACCTTGACGCAGCCATTACAATGCGATCTGCAGAGACTGAGTTGCAAAACACAATAGAACTACCCGCAACGGCGTCGCAAATTGCAGCTCCAAAACCGGATGGATCTCGACGCCAGAGCGAAAAAAAGACGATTTTGAAGCACTTTTTAAAAGGATTTTTAGAAGGAAAATCACTAGCGCCAAAATGGAGAAAATCTGCTGACAAATCACTGTCGCAGCCTTGATGCAGCCATTCCAATACGATTTATGATCTTCAGCTGCAAAAAACAATAGTATTACGCATGCAGCCGCTGCACCAAGCAACCTTGACGCAGCCACTACAATGCGATCTGCAGAGACTGAGTTGCAAAACACAATAGAACTACGTGTAATGGCATCGGAAATTGCAGCTCCAAAACCACATCTCGACGCCAAAGCGACAAAAAGACGATTTTGAAGCACTTTTTAAAAGAATTTTTAGAAGGAAATTCACTAGCGCCAAAATGGAGAAAATCTGCTGACAAATCACTGTCGCAGCCTTCATGCAGCCACTCCGATACGATTTACGAAGTCCAGCTGCAAAAGACAATAGTATTACCAATGCAGCCACAGCACGAAGGAACCTTGACGCAACCATTTACAGGGAGGGAACGATCCTAGACTTGCAAATCACAATGGAATTCCATCGGCAACTCATCCACCAGCACCACTTGCAATCCCATTTACAGTGAGGGAACGATCCTAGAGTTGCAAATCACAATGGAATTCCATCAGAAACTCATCCACCAGCACCACTTGCAATCCCATTTACATTGCGGGAACGATCCTACAGTTGCAAATCACAATGGAATTCTGTCGACCGCAAATGCACGAAACACAGGTGAAACCCCATTTACAATGCGGAACCGATCCGAGACCGATCCGAGAATGATCCGACCACACACGAGACCGTCTCGCACCCGTCGCACCGCAGAGGTAGATCATCGAGGTTCGGGGACGGACTTTGTATGGAAAAACATAGGCTTTCGTGCATCTGCTATCTCTCAAAAACGCATTTCGTGCGAGACTTCCTTCAAAACTCCATCGGCAACTCCTCCACCAGCACCACTTGCAATCCCATTTACAGTGAGGGAACGATCCTAGAGTTGCAAATCACAATGGAATTCCATCGGCAACTCATCCACCAGCACCACTTGCAATCCCATTTACATTGCGGGAACGATCCTACAGTTACAAATCACAATGGAATTCTGTCGACCACAAATGCACGAAACACAGGTGAAACCCCATTTACAATGCGGAACCGATCCGAACATGATCCGAGAATGATCCGACCACACACGAGACCGTCTCGCACCCGTCGCACCGCAGAGGTAGATCATCGACGTTCGGGGACGGACTTTGTATGGAAAAACATAGGGTTTCGTGCATCTGCTATCTCTCAAAAACGCATTTCGTGCGAGACTTCCTTCAAAACTCCATCGGCAACTCCTCCACCAGCACCACTTGCAATCCCATTTACAGTGAGGGAACGATCCTAGAGTTGCAAATCACAATGGAATTCTGTCGACCACACATGCACGAAACACAGGTGAAACCCCATTTACAATGCGGGAACGATCCTACAGTTGCAAATCACAATGGAATTCTGTCGACCGCACATAGACGAAACACAGTTGAAACCCCATTTACAATGCGGAACCGATCCGAGACCGATCCGACCATGATCCGAGCATGATCCGACCACACACGAGACCGTCTCGCACCCGTCGCACCGCAGAGGTAGATCATCGAGGTTCGGGGACGGACTTTGTATGGAAAAACATAGGGTTTCGTGCATCTGCTATCTCTCAAAAACGCATTTCGTGCGAGACTTCCTCCAAAACTCCATCGGCAACTCCTCCACCAGCACCACTTGCAATGCCATTTACAGTGAGGGAACGATCCTAGAGTTGCAAATCACAATGGAATTCCATCGGCAACTCATCCACCAGCACCACTTGCAACCCCATTTACAATGCGGGAACGATCCTACAGTTGCAAATCACAATGGAATTCTGTCGACCACACATGCACGAAAAACAGTTGAAACCCCATTTACAATGCGGAACCGATCCGACCATGATCCGCCCATGACCAATCCCATGATCCGACCACACACGAGACCGTCTCGCACCCGTCGCACCGCAGAGGTAGATCATCGAGGTTCGGGGACGACTTTGTATGGAAAAACATAGGGTTTCCTGCATCTGCTATCTCTCAAAAACGCATTTCGTGCGAGACTTCCTTCAAAACTCCATCGGCAACTCATCCACCAGCACCACTTGCAATCCCATTTACAGTGAGGGAACGATCCTAGAGTTGCAAATCACAATGGAATTCCATCGGCAACTCATCCACCAGCACCACTTGCAACCCCATTTACAATGCGGGAACGATCCTACAGTTGCAAATCACAATGGAATTCTGTCGACCACACGTGCACGAAAAACAGTTGAAACCCCATTTACAATGCGGAACCGATCCGACCATGATCCGACCATGATCCGACCACACACGAGACCGTCTCGCACCCGTCGCACCGCAGAGGTAGATCATCGAGGTTCGGGGACGCACTTTGTATGGAAAAACATAGGGTTTCGTGCATCTGCTATCTCTCAAAAACGCATTTCGTGCGAGACTTCCTTCAAAACTCCATCGGCAACTCATCCACCAGCACCACTTGCAATCCCATTTGCATTGCGGGAACAATCAATGCCCTAACTAACTCTTTCTGTGACTAACCCTTTCCCTGACGAACGCTTTCTTTGCTAACTCTTTCTTTGACTACCTCATATATCCTGACTAACTCTTTCTTTGACTACCTCATATATCCTGACTAACTCTTTCTTTGACTACCTTTTTCCCTGACTAACTGTTTCTTTGACTAACTCTTTCCTTGACTAACTCTTTCTTTGACTACCTCATATATCCTGACTAACTCTTTCTTTGACTACCTTTTTCCCTGACTAACTGTTTCTTTGACTAACTCTTTCCCTGACTAACTCTTTCTTTGACTAACTCTTTCTTTGACGAACTCTTTCTTTGACTAACTCTTTCCCTGACTAACTGTTTCTTTGACTAACTCTTTCCCTGACTAACTCTTTCTTTGACTAACTCTTTCCCTTGCTAACTGTTCTTTGACTAACTCTTTCTTTGACTAACTCTTTCTTTGACTAACTCTTTCCCTGACTAACTGTTTCTTTGACTAACTCTTTCCCTGACTAACTGTTTCTTTGACTAACTCTTTCTTTGACTAACTCTTTCCCTGACTAACTGTTTCTTTGACTAACTCTTTCTTTGACTAACTCTTTCTTTGACATTCTAAAAGTCCGTAACACGGAAGTTTCTCCCACTAAACTTCCTTTGATAAATGGATATATTATACTGTAACCGCATGTAACCGTAATATCTCATATCATACCTTATACCCCCGTGAAAAAATGGGATATCCCCTACTATAGATGGGTTTGAAAGCACAGATCCTAACTGGGATGCACAAGTAGCAAGGCCCTTTCCATACAAGTAGGCCACCAAAAAAAAATCTTTGGTTACGATTATTCTCCATTTATAGCAAAAAACAAAAGGTTTGTCTGAAAATAGGGTACCTCTAAATCCATCGGTTAACCATCATGTTTCCCGCTAAATGACCATTGTTTAATCTCCAAACACCCGAGCCCAAAAGCCACAGGCCCAGCTGCAACTGGTAGCGCTTGTTACGTCCCTCATTGCCTGGGCAGAGCCATATTACAACCTTTTTCACTATAGTTGTTGGGATATTATCTATGTATACATGTATTTATATACATACATATAATATGTATGTAAATAAATATACGTATACATAGCTAATATCCCAATATCACATATATATATATATATAAATCAACATATAGATTCACCTAGTTGTTGCTGCTTTCGTTGACAGGGAATTCTTGGGATGGTTGCGAAATCCTGCACCAGGGATGGTAGAAAACCTAGAAACAATGGGACGTTTGCCACCTATTACCTGGTGCAGGATTTCGCTGGCCCATCCACAGTATCATGAACGACATCATTAAATATCATGAAATATCATAAATTAAACATCATTAAAATATATAGATTGTGGCATATCCCATTTTCAGGCAGATCCTAGTATGTTTGAACCATCAGATCTTAGGGTACCTTGTGCAAAATTCAAGGCCCTTGGCTTCAGGGATCAACGCCAACAATCCTACACTCGTTGTTTATTCATATGCTATAGGAACAATAAGTCATTATATCTGGTTGGTGGTATACCTACCCCTCTGAAAAATATGAGTTCGTCAGTTGGGATGATGAAATTCCCAATATATGGAAAATGAAATTCATATTCCAAACCACCAACCAAATATAAACAACATTAAATTCTAGAGTTCCTGTTCATGAAATTGTACCTATACATCATTATATTCCTATCATATTTAGTCATAATCCTTTAGATCATACATATAATATATATATATATATGTCAACCACTATCAAACATTTTTGAAAACCCCATGGTTAGCATTCAAAGCATTCCCAATCATGGATGGCTTATGGCATTGTTTTCCACACATTAGTTGTTAGTAATTAAACAATTGACATTTACAACCGTACGTATACATCATTATTATTTATCATTAAGTTAGATTGGGGCGTATCCCATCTTCAGACAAATCCATGTTTTTTTAAGATCGACCGGTTGTTTATTCATAGTTCGCAAAGCTTTCTACTGGTTGGTGGTTTCAACCCCTCTGAAAATATGAGTTCCTCAGTTGGGATGATTATTCCCAACTGAATGGAAAGTCATAAAACAAATCCATGGTTGCAGTCACCACGAACCAGTCATTTATATCTACCATAAACATCCATAAAGCAAAAACCATAGAATTCACCAGAAACCATAAATATAGTATTTAGATAACTATACAGTAATATCATGGTAGTTATATCATTTACCATCTGCTTATTTAACATAGCCATGGAAAATCACCATTTATAATAGGTAAATCGTCTATAAATGGGCCATCTATACCATGGCTATGTTAAACAACCAGAGGGTATATCATGTCCCAGTCCCACAAAGTGGGCGGTTTTTTTGTCCCAAGGAACGCAGGCGATTGCCCTGTCTCCACAAGGCCGTCACCTCCCATAGTGGGCTGTTTTTGGTGGGTCATGGGTGAAAGCCTTTTTTTTTTCCCATAATTTATCTTGGAATTATAAATAGTATTTGCTTATATTCACATTGGATTTATGGTGGATATTGTTTAAATATAAATATATATATATATATATAGTAAGGATTAATTGCATATATAGCATAATCTTGGATATTTATGGATATGTATCTGGTTGGTGGCTTCAACCCCTCTGAAAAATGATGGAGTTCGTCAGTTGGGATTGTGACATTCCCAATATATGGAAAGTCATCAAAATTCATATTCCAAACCACCAACCAGGACATTAATTTATCTTGGATTTGCTTAAGGGAGCCCCAAAACATAAAACATATTCAGAACAGAGATTCTCCATTTCTGGTGGATTTTCCATTGGGAAAATAAACAATCACCTTAAACAAACCCAGGTTATGGATATTTTTGGTACAAAAGAGGCGTTCCATAAATGAGGGGTTTCCAAATGGATGGATGGTTTATACATGTTTAGGGCCTGGAACATCCTACTAGGATGGATTGAATTTTCTGGGCCCCATGACTGAGGAAACCTCCATATCTATGATGAATGGAAACTAAACCAACACTTATAATCATCTGGGTAAGTATTGAATATGTCCGAAACCAGATTTGATTTCAGGCCATTTGGGGATGATGTCCCCTTAGGCCCTAATCGAAATGGTGAGATCAAATGGGCCGCTGAAAATTACCAAGACCATGGTCAATGGGAATTTCAGGATCCTAAAATGGAGGTACTGTACCATATAAGGCCATATTTTCTGGGGATATTCCCTTACATAGGCCTTACATAAGCCTTATATATGGTACGTACCTCCAATTTGGGTTCCTGAAATGGCCATTGACGCCCGGTTATGTTTGATGTTTTTTGATGGTAGCAATGGGAATGTGCATAGGAGTGAGAAAACACATCATAAGGTGGTCGTGACCTTTATTGAGGGGTCACCGCCGTCGCCGCGGATTGTTTTTTGTCCGATATCATGATGCACTGCATGATATTGTGGAAGATTGAGGTCAACATGCCGGAAAACAAGTCATGATTCATGATTCATGTTGGTATTTAATACTCCCAGTCCGCAAGCAAACTTATCTCTAAACGAAAGCAATGCCAGTTTTATCCGCTTTCTTGTTGGTTAAAAATCCAATAAAAACCGCATGGGAAATGGCACCAATAGAACTATAGAAAAAAACGCACCACTTGAGTTCCACAATACAGCAAGCCACTTCCTTGTTGACTACCCTCTGTCGAAACAAGGCTGGAAAATCCCAGTTTTGCAGAACTGGGTAGATGGAGAGAGCAGCCAGCTCGCCATGTATGGTTGCTAAAAATAACCTCATTTCACGATTGTTCAATGTATATATATATGGGGGGTTACATACATGGGGGATCCCCTGATAGCTGGATGGTTTATAATGGAAAAACTTATTAAAATGGATGATATGTATACATACATATATAGTGCAGATATATTGTATCTATTCATACGATTGTATACGTATGTAATATCTACCGTAACCCCTAGTCAAGCGGCTTATAAAGCAACATACCCGAGGGCAACCTGTGATACTTTGTGGGCTCCTGCACAGCGTGCCATCCGGCAAACCCCGCATGGCCTTGTTTTCCAAGTCCTTCAAAACTTGCGGAGTCCTGGCTGTTCTTTTTTTCCAAGACATATGAGGGACACAACAAGGTTGGTGGTTTCAACCCCTCTGAAAAATATGAAAGTCAATTCGGATGATTATTCCCAATATATGGAAACATAAAAACGCTCCAAACCACCAACCCGTAATTGATGGGAGTGAACAGCCAGTATTTACTGTAGGAGAATACTTGAGAGGGGGAACACGAAAGGTAGGTAAGCAAGAAAGGAACCGAAGAAAAAATGAAGGGGAGAGGGCAGGGAAAAAAACATAAAGTGGAGTCTGGTAAAAGCGACGCGGCCAGTTTCTTTCCAAAAATATGAAGGGGAGTCTGGTAAAAGCGACTGAAAGGCTTCGGCGATGTGGTTGGGGTTGGTGGCGGTTGTGGTGTTGGTGGTGTTGGTGGTGCTGGTGGTGTTGGTGTTGTTGGTGTTGTTGGTATTTGTGTTGGTGTTGGTATTGTTTGTGTTCGTGTTGTCGTTGTTGTTGTTGCTGTTGTTGTTGCTGCTGATGGTGTTGTTGTTGTTGTTGCTGTTGTTGTTGTTGCTGCTGCTGATGGTGTTGTTGTTGTTGTTGTTGTTGTTGTTGACGTTGTTGTTATTGTTGTTGTTGTTGTTGTTGTGTGTTGTTGTGTGTTGTTGTTGTGTTGTTGTGTTGTTGTGTTGTTGTGTTGTTGTGTTGTTGTGTGTTGCGTGTGTTGTTGTGTGTTGTTGTGTGTTGTGGTGTGTTGTTGTGTGTTGTTGTGTGTGTGTTGTTGTGTGTTGTTGTGTGTGTTGTTGTGTGTTGTTGTGTGTTGTTGTGTGTTGTGTGTTATTGTGTGTTGTTGTGTGTTGTTGTGTGTTGTTGTGTGTTGTTGTGTGTTGTTGTGTGTTGTTGTTTGTTGTTGTGTGTTGTTGTGTTTTGTTGTGTGTTGTTGTGTGTTGTTGTGTGTTGTTGTTGTTGTTATTGTTGTCATTCGTTGTTGTTGTAGTTGTTGTGGTTGTTGTGGTTGTTGTGGTTGTTGTGGTTGTTGTGTGTTGTTGTGTGTGTTGTGGTGTGTTGTTGTGCGTTGTGGTGTATTGTTATGTGTTGTTGTGTGTTGTGTGTGTTGTGTGTGTTTTGTGTGTTTTGCGTGTTGTGTGATATGCGTGGTGCGTTGTGCGTTGTGCGTTGTGCTTTGTGCGTTGTGCGTTGTGCGTTGTGCGTTGTGCGTTGTTGTTGTTGTTGTTGTTGTTGTCGTCGTTGTTGTTGTTGTTGCTGTTGCTGTTGCTGTTGGTGTTGTTCTTGTCGGTGTTGGTGTTACCCCTGCAGCGTTTTTGCTCGGTTCCGTAGTGGCCGAAAATCGTCAAATCGGTGGTGTTTTCGCGTGTTTTTGCATCGCTCGGAGCAAAAAACACCGTAAATACCAATGTTTTTGGCGGGTCGGAAGCCCAAAACCACGGTATTTACGATGTTTTTTGCCTCTGGTAGTAAAAAGCACGGTATTTACAGTGTTTTTTGGCCAGCACCTAGCAAAAACACTGGTATTTACGGAGGTTTCACCATGTAGCAAAATGTGGTTTCTTGATCCGAAAAGAACAAAAATACTGTAAATTACAGTATTTTGAGTCTGCTCTTAGGGTGCGTGGGAGGTGTGGAGGGGGGGGGTACTAAAATGACTAGCAATCTCCTGAAGAATCAGGTAACGGGGCTGGCCGCCCTCCCCTTTACTTCGTAAAGTAAAACTCAAGGTAGCCCCTCTGGAGCTACCTTTCGTGATGTGTTCTAGATTCTAGATATTCTGAACGTAATTTCATCATAACCATTCATAACCTATGAACACAAAAGATGTAACTAACAACTGTTGTAATTCAAAAACCACATGAGTGTATAGTCTGAGATACCCACCGAAAAACAACAACTTGTGCTTGGATATCAACTTCTTCCCTATGATACTTAAAAAATACGATTGATATACTAAACAATCAATCACCCTACCCATCTACCCTTTACCAGTCGATTCACTTGGATCCCAACCAACACGGTTGGAAACCGTGTGAATTCAACTAATCCTCCAAGATAGGTAGCCCTCCCAAGAATAAATCAATCAACCAGTATTTGACCTTATGAACTATGAATGACATAGTTATATCTACCATAAATCATCGAATTCACCTAGTTATAACATGTTGTAAAGCAAATTAGCTATCGTTTGGGGTTTGGGGGGGCAATTTTATCTGGTTGGTGGTTTCAATCCCTCTGAAAAAATATTAGTCAATGGGAAGGATTGAAGGATTATCCCATATATTATGGAAAATAACAAATGATTGAAACCACCAACCAGATTAGTTCTTGTTGATTGTTTATAAGCCCATTCTTTAAAGCCTAAATTTCTTGTGATATTGATTTTTTACTGACCTGCAAGCATTGCCTTCTCACCACCAAAAGCTGGAGCTTTTTTTTATGATCCATCCCACAAATAGTAGTAGGTTGGTTGACAGGGACTTTCATCAACCACTGGTGGCATTCGGCTCGCTGGTGCCAAACCAGATTAGCAAGCGACCGACTAACAACCCCTACATATGTAGCGGTGGGTCCCCAGTTTGTGAATTCTATTGTTCATGGTAGATATAACGAACTAGTCCATGGGGTTTATAAATCAACTTGTAACTAGGGGAGCCACATTGTAGGAAAATCGTTATTATACTATGGTATTTACCCTATGGTATTTACCCTATGGTATTTACCCTATCGTATTTACCCTATGGTATTTACCCTATAGTATTGTAACTAGGGAAGCCACATGAAAAAACTAAGATGCAATGTTTACTGATCACATCAACTGGAATGCAAATTTCGAGACATTCCGGGAGGTTCGATTGCAACAAATGGACAAAATGGCTGCGCCTCTCGGCTTTCGTTGCCATGGATTTGCGTGGCTTCGTTGGCTGCACCTGGGAAAAAGCGCAGAAGGTTAAATTGAAGATGAAACACATGATGTGGTATGTACCTTGCTGAAACTTACATAGATGTGGAGTTGGCCCACGATTTCCAAATCATTTTCCTATACAGAAACACCATTGGGTTTCGTGGTGTTTACCTTTACCCCGTCGTATGCCCAAAATTCTGCTGAAACCAGAGGATCCCACAGAACTTCGGTGACGGTTTTGGGTCTAGGAATACTCCGTGTATTGATGATTTTCAGAGATTTACCCCACAAATATGCAAATATATTATATTATATGTACATATAAAACTAAATATGCTACCCAGAGAAGAGATGAGAAGAGCCCATCTTTCTTGTCTTGGTGATCAAAGAAATTAGCTATGCTTGATATCCCCATCTACTGGTTATCTGGCTTTTATTCTGCAAGCTTCCTGCAAAGTTGTGCCCCCAAATTAAGTTTACTGTTTTATAAACCCGTTAACTGGTTCGATATACTTTAATGTTGCATCCTGACTAGCAGCTAGGTTCGCTATGCTAGACATGTTCAAATTATTCAGAACCCATGATTTCACGATTGTGGCAGAAAAATGTTGGCAGATCATTTTTTGTCAGTGAAAATCTTAATTAACTTGTTTTCTGGAAAACATGTTTGTAACTACAAGTTTACGATTTCACAGGCAAAAAAACAATCTCGCCAATTAACATCCTTACTAAAATGTACAATCGTGTTTTATCTGGGGGACAGCTCTTAAACTCAACTTTCAAGAGGGTATAGCATTGGCATAAACCAAGCACCTATGTTGCTGAAATAGACCAAGTCAGCTAAGGATTAGGGCAACCATATATTCCCAATAAATATGTGTATAATATATATATATATTATCAGATCATAGTCCCGAAGAATCGTTAGTAATCCTCCAAACAGAAATGGTTGATGAAGTCCCCATTTAAAATGGATCATCAGCCGAACTTCACCTACTTACGGCAAGGCATTTTCCATCGCTGTCCCACCTGGGGTTAGCCCTGCAGCCCTGCACCGTCCGCCTTAGGTGTCTTGGCTTCATCCTCCTTCAAACGGCGCTGCAGCGACATGCCTTCAGAGCGAGCCATGGACTGAACTCTGGATAACCAAGCACAGTTATGGCCATTTATCAGTTATAAGTACTTATAACCCCATTTATAGAATGTATAATCCCACTTATAACCAGTTATAACTGGTAAATGGCCATAACCAAGCAATGGATGGATGGATGGAAAACATGACCCATCTGACCTCGAAAAAAAACTCCTTTGCTTATGGAGTTTTCAATGGATTCTGGTGGATGGTGGAAGCCACAGGTTTGGGTTTTCACTGTTTGAAAACGACCTAAATTCACGGGAGGTCGGGTTCCTTGAAATAATTCTGGGATTCAGCTTCGTTTGGGGGTGATTTTTGAAGGATGATGCCTTTGAATTTCGCACGATTTCGGGGAACATGTGACAAGAAACTAGTTGGCTTCTACCCTCAACACCCCTCAAACATGATGGAATTCTTGCACCCTTTTCTCAGAAATCAATTCTTTGGAACACATGCTTGAGTCTCTTGGGAACCCAATATCATATATATATATATATGTATATCCAATATGTGATTGAACTCCAGATTGAAACCGAAGAAGTGAATGTATTTCCAATAAGTAGATAGCTATGTGTAGGAGATACACAAATAAACTGCAAAAGAACGTTGGTATCAATCAGGCCCGATCTAGCTCCAGGTTTGCCACAAGCACAGGAAGCTGGTGATATAAACCAAACAAAAATGGCGAGGTACAATTTGGGCCCCCCTCAGTTATAAGTTGGTTTAGATTCGCCCCAGTAACTAGTTCGTTATAAGTACGATAAGCCATAGTTATTGGAGTTATGTGCGCCAACTTAGCTATCGAACGGGGGCCTCAGAGATCTGTACAAATGTGACAGGCCAAACACTGCGGTATCACGCAACGAAATTAGGAATATAAATGAAATTCGACTAATTACTATTAGAATCGAAACTATGGATAATTGGATAATTGGTATTTCCTGATTTTTTGATTACAATTCCCCAATATTACCTTTGGAAATCGAAACTATGGAAAATTACAGACAGTAGTAGCAACATGTAGCGATAGCAGTAGCAACAAGGGCATCTTTGCAGTAAAACAAAGAGTGTTCCACCAAGTTTTGAATTACCAAAACTGGTTATTTAACAGTTTGCTATGGAAAATGACCCATAGAAATAGATGATGTACCTATTTTTTTAAAAAAAGAAACAAACTATTTTCCATAACTATGTTAAATAGCCAACAGGTACCACAACAATCGCATGTGTTTGTAGTTGTATGTTTGGATGGGTCGAAGACCTGTTGGAACATCTACGTAGCAGGGTACGTGGTAACACCCACACAATCCAAAGGATGATGGTTTTAGAATAGAACATAAGCCCAAAACGACAGGACGTTGTCATTTTCATTAGCTATGTTAGTTTACCAGAGGGTAAATCACCATGAATCACCATCAAATCTCATTAAAACCCATTAAGTCACCATTAAACCACCAATGTATCCACCAGTTTTTTGGGAGTACCCCGGGTCGTTGAACATTTTCCGACGGTTCCCATGGTCCGTTGGCACCTGTGCAAGCGACGTATTGGTCCATCATCGGTTGGAACAATGTCAGGAACCTCGGGCTAAGAACAGCTGGCAGCTGGGTATCCGAAATGGCTGGAGTAAAAACATCGTTTTGAGCCGTGGGTAGCACAGAAATAAAACATACCCTCTGGTAATGACTAACATAGCTATGGAAAATGGTGATTTATAGTGGATTGTCCCATGAAAAATGGTGATGTTCCATAGTTATGTTGGCTTACCAGATGGTAATTACACCAAAACATAACACGTATTAACACGTACTCCCTTGCAATCTCTGAGTAAAGGTGCCAATTATATACTGATTTAATCTGACTGCAAAGTTTATCCCAATCCGTCTCCAAGGACACTTGGATGCTTGCTACTCCAAAAAAAATATGTGGGTCGGGGGAATGCAGAGTTGATCCATACAAAATATACATACATATATCTATATATAGATTGATTGATTGATTGATTGTATTGTATATACACACACACACCTGATTCCGGACCATTTGGGTGGGAACGCATCTTCGATTCAAGTGGATATGCAAAAACAGAACATGCCTGTTTGTTGGTTTTCATGAGACGGCGTGATCTTTGGTGATACCCAATGGCTCAAACCTAATGTCACGGCAACTTTACGCAGCCTTCTTTTTTGTTGTGGGCAACAATAAAAAATCGGAGTAAGCGGAAGTCTAAGTGCATATCTTTACAACTGCAGAAGGCAACTTCAAGATGGACTCACAAAATTGCTCATGCTCATGCCCATAGATTTGCTTAAGGACCCCTCCAATAAAGTCCTCCAGTCAATGTCCTCAAACGTCCTTGAGTTTGTTATTTTCCAATTCAAATCGCCATTTCAAGGTATTCTCCGTTCTATATTGTTGGTGATATCCCCATTATACCATCAGTTGTCATAGTTGAATCCCAAATGTTGGTGGTAAATCGTCCATTTTCAGACACTACAATTATCATCATTCATCATATCATTGGGTATTTATATATGTATTATATACGTATATGTATATATATATATAACTGGTTGGTAGTATACCTACCCCCTGAAAAATCAGATTGGATCATCATCCCAATTATTGGGGAAAATAAAATTCATGTTCCAAACCACCAACCAGGGTATATCGGATATCATTTATATCTACCATAAACCATAGAATTCAGCCCCATGATCCCCAGGTATATACGTATATATATATATATATATATATCAACATTGATATCATTGGGTACTGGTTGGTGGTTTCAACCCCTCTGAAATATATTAGTCAGTTGGGATGATTATTCCCAAGATATGGAAAAATAAAAATGTTCCAAACCACCAATCCCAAGAAGTCCGCGTCGTGGTTTAACCATGTCCTATGTAAGCGTCGGGGTCTAACCATAAGCGTCGGGGTCTAACCATATTAGCATGCTCAGCTGCGAACTCAACATGTCGCGCTTTCGTTCTGGCTCCTCTAGCTCGGTCATGCTGACCCTTATCAAAGTTTCACCAAATTGTCCAGCTTATGCTGGCGTAAACAACTAGACACAACATTTTGACCTGCGAAGATTGTGGCTGGGCACTCAAAATTTCAGCTCTTTTGATGGTGTTACTTTATGATTGTTCAAATTCATGATAATTCATGTCTGTGAGGTGCAGGATGGTCCTAGATGCACAAAGCGTTGCGTAAACGCCCCTTGCTCATCTACGTTCGTGGTGTCATGTGACCATGTGTGTGCATACGCCTGTGAACTTGAGGTCGGCTGCAAAATCAGCAAGGTGCTCAACATGTGAGGGCTACAGGTGCACACCGCCATTCCTGTTTTCTCTAGACATGCTGGGTGGTTAATGTGCTCAGTTGGAAAAGTGCGGCATCTTAGGGTTTTTCAAGATCAAGCTGCATGCAGCATGCAGTAGGGGCTTAGCTTGTGCTCTTTCTGCGGCTGGCCATGCCGACGACGAAACCAAACGAAGAGGTCGTCAACTCTTTAAAGGCCAGGTTGATACTTCATGTGTGCATCTTTGTGTACGAAAGTGTGCGCGCATATTCGCGCCCCATGTCGCAGGAGTTCTTCAATGGCATGATGCGCATGGATGATGGCAACTACAGGGCAAAAAGGCCTAAATTATATACTTTAAAGTATAAATATCGTACTATCACAATTCTCTTTTGAATGCTCCTGCCCGAAAAAAATACCTAGCATACATATTGCCATGCAGGTTCAGAGAGCTGGCAAAGTTGAAAGGCATCCCTGAAGATGACGTTCGCAGTAGCCTCTGGATGAAGAAGGTGGGCCGCTAGCCAGTTCATTTTCCACACGCATCAGGTCAATCATGCTGTGAAACCAGGCGCCATGCGAGTTTGCCTTCTTAGACAATTTGGGTGGCAAGAACATCGACTTACAAAAGGTTCGGGCACACACACATGCATGCTGAAATTGTTGAAGTAAAGTAAATATGCAATATTGACGTTTGTTCGCAGGTGGTGCAGGAGACGAACTTTCGGTTTCTGAAGGCTTTCCTGGGAAAGTTTTCGGTCATCATCCCAACGGCAAAAGAACTTGAGGTCATACTTGCCATGTTTGTGCAGCCCCAAAAGTTTTGCATTTAAGTCATGCCACCCCAGCCTGGGATTCTACATGCCAGATGGCGCTTTGCAGCACAGCTGTGGACCATGTTTTGGTGAACAGTATGGATGAAAAAAGCGACCTTGTCAAGGCTTGGCCACACAACATGTAGCATGTTGGTGAAACTCATGCCGTCTCTTTTGCATCGTCCCTCATGCCAGCCTGCGCAGGATTGGGCTGCCACCGAAGGAGGGGTCATCCGTGCTCACGCAAGCTACGTGATCACCAGAGCTGGCAGAACATCGAAGGGAAGGTGAGCTAAATATGAGTTACAAGCTTGCAGCGCACTCCTGTCACATGAATAATTCTTGTTTGGAGGCATCCACGACTCACAGAGCTGAAAGATATCGTGCTACAGAAATTCAAGGAGCCATATCATATTCTGAACTCTTGAACTTTAGATAAAGGCCGTTCATGATTTTGTGCCTGCATGCTAGGAGAACGGCATTCTGAAAAGAGGGACATCTTCCAGGACCTTTGTAAAGGTGCCACAAGGTCGCGAGGGCTCCCAACAGGATCTTGCAGACACATGCCCCGTTGAAGGCGCCAGTCTGTGAATTTTCAAATGTTTTCAGATTGATCACTTCAGCACACATATATTATTATATATATATATAGATACATGCCCATGTCCCAGGAACCCAAGGGGAAGATGCAGCAGCATCGTCATCTGGGGAAGAAATTTACTATGAAGAGTATGAGGAAGAAGAAATCACTACGAGCGACGAAGAAGTCATGTCCTCAAAATATTGATGGTAAACCATCCTGCACTCACCCAACTTTGCCCAGGTGGAACCTCCTCCAGCAGAGGCTCCGGAG